AGATGCAAAGCTGACAAATCTCTCAACACATCAAATATAGGGTAGCAGACAGAATTCAGATTTAGCAAATGAAACCAGTATAATACTGACATCTGTTTATGAAAAGGGATTTTCAGAAATTTATATAGATGGCTAATTAATAATTTAGAAGAGATTACTGGAGAACATCTGCCTACCACAAATCCTGTCTGGTATGCCTGATTTATATGGCGTAATCTTTTGAAGTAGTGCTAGGTAGTTGAGCGTTTTCTCTATTAGATTTTTTGCTTTTACTATAGCCAACCTTTTCACTAATAAGACATGCTTTGTATGTCAGAAGAGAACTCCTTTAGGCATTGTTAATCACCCATTATGGTGATGGAATTCACTTCTTAGTAGTAGTCCAATTGCACCCTTATTTAAAACAAAAACTTCTAGGGAATTTAAATACTGTACATAGTCTCCTTAAATGTTTTTTTTTATGTATGTATATTTTATCAAGTATTTAACTTATTCAAATTAGATTATATATATATATTCTTAACTACAAAAATGGCAATGCAAAACAAGCATTGATTCCAATATAAGCATTAACAATAAGCACTGGCTTTAATATCATTTATTCAGTATCTGTAATCTTCGAGATACAGTGCAAAGTTACAGTATTAACGTGCACTTTCTTTCTAAATAGTAAGATAATTTAGTAGTAGTGAAAGTGTATGATTTTGTTTTTAAACTAAGAAACCTACATTAAACATTTCTACTTTTGAAAAAGGATGTGCTGGCTAAAGATGTTTATTCAAATTACACCTTACAGAGGGATCACACTTAAGTGCTTCACTTGTATAAAACCATAATTCCTTGGCTAATATAACTTTTCCTAACAGAATGAAATGTAGACTACTGCAGTGTCATGTAGAGAAATCCCTACAGCAGCTGCTTGCTGAATATGTATAAATATAGCGTTTATGTGCACAGAGGCAGATCTGGCACTGTAAACCACATCAGAAGTAAATTTAATATCCCCCACTTAACCAGCAAAGGTGCATATTCTAATTCAACGATATGATCCATCCATTCATTTTCTAACTGCTTTATGTAATTCAGGGTTGGGGGAAGCCAGAGCCTATTCCAGCAAGCAACAAGTGCGAGGCAGTATATGCCCTAGACAGGAAGCCAATCCATTGCACACAGACACCAACACACTCACACCCAGGCCAATTTTCCCAGAAGGCAGTTAACCTACCAGCAGGCCCTTCGAGAGCTCAGATGAGACCTGGGCCATTTCACATTTTGAGGCCCCCTCGTTGTTTGGGAAGAGGGGTAAATTTAATTTCTATTCTATTTTAATTAAAAGAATGGCATGATGGGAAGATGAAGGCGGGCATTTTGACACTCCTAAAGAAGGGTAGATTCAGCACTGAAAGGGGGATGTTTTTTCACAGCCGTAGACACAGCCAAATGGGGGGCAGTGTGGTGGCTCTGTGGCTTAGGCTCTGCGCCTGTGGCTGGAAGGCTGCCAGTTCGTATCCCAGGACTGGCAGAGGAATCCTACTCTGTTGGGCCCCTGAGCAAGGCCCTTCACCCCAAACGCTCCAGGGGCGCCGTATAAATGTCTGACCCTGCGCTCTGACCCCAAGCTTCTCTCCCTGTCTGTGTGTCTCATGGAGAGCAAGTTGGGGTCTGAGAAAAGACAAATTCCTAATACGAGAAATTGTATATGGCCAATAAAGCATTCTGTTAAAGTGGAGGACCATGCACCCTTGGCTGAGGTGAGACCCTTATTCCAATAAGGGTCCTGGCAAATAGAAGCCTGTCCTGGTGACATAGGACAGAAGTATCACCACTTTGCAGGTTGATGTGATCATCTCCCAGAAGCGAAGCAAAGTTGGGCCCGGTCAGTGCTGGAATGAGAGACCCTCAAGGGCCCTGAAGGAAAACCAGGTTGCTGCTGTAGGAGTGGTGATGGGGGGGCACCGTCCTTTGGATGAGACAATATGGGTCTGGACTACCTGTGGTCTTTACAGATCAATTCACACAGGTCATAACACTAGGTCACCAACCGCAGTGTCCTGGTGAAATTCCACCCTGGTCTTAAACAATGTGGACGACCTAAATTTCCAGCTCATCTCAATGAAATACGATTTAATGGGGAAGCCCATTCTCACTTTTCCATCTGATCTACTTTACTAACTGGTAAGATAAACTGCTGGAAGTTTACTAACTTCCATGTGCCATCCAGTTGTTGCACTTCAGTTGTTAGTGACGTATACCCCTCCTACTGCTTTCATTTGGGATGAACATGGGTGGATAGATAGACTGAGGACATCATGCAGATGCATCTTTTTAGACTTAATCACCTTCTGGGTGGGATCAGAGGGTAGTGGTTAGGTTTCTGGGCTATTACTATTACCTGAAAGGGTGTAGTTGGAGGTCTCTACTATGGACACCTGTAGCACAACTGAAACAGTTACTTTACCCCAGTTGTTCCAGTTACTCATGATATTAACGATGGAAGTGGGCAATGCTTTCAAGTGGGTACATTTTAGAACATACAGGGTATTTAGGACATAGGGCGTCGAGGACCTATTAAAGGCAAAACATATAAAAAACCTTCTTTTTTGCAAATGAAATCAACATATCCACATTTCTACAAGCACAACATGGTCCATAGCTGTTGGGGGTACCGCAATTTGTAAGCAGATGGCTGAAGAACTCACTGAGGTTGAATAAGTCTTGATCAATCCTAAACAGATGTTGTTTTGCTGGTGTAGGTGGAAACATCATACTCTTACAATCTACTGTAAGTATTCGGGATTAAACAATATTTTGGTGAAACAATATTTTCAGTTACAGTACATAGTGAAGTCTACAGGAATGCATAGATATAAATAGTTTAATATTTTCAGTAACAGCGAGGTATACATGTGAAATAACTAACAAGGGTTGTCCATAAATACCCATAACATATACTGTATACTGTAAGCAGCATGACCAGTATAATCTAGTCAGGCTCTGTTACAGCCATTACAGCCAGAAGTTATCCTTTTATACTACTTATACACATTTTTTTTTGCCAAAATTGATCACGCCTACAGTATGTTTGTGTTTAAATCTGATGGAAATAAATTTTGTGAGAAGATAAAGGACTTCGATTGAAGCCCTTATCAGGAGTCTTTGTATAGGACTGTCTGTTTCTTTGTGGATGCAGTAAGGAACATACTTCTGTACACCTACATGTAGATTCTGTACTGCAATTCTGTACAGAATACACTTTAACCATCAATTGTTTGGTGTGCTGTTATATATATATATGTGATATACAATGTCTTACCAAGGTATTCACACACTTTCACACGGTTTTCACATTTTGTAGCTTTAAAGCCTACAAACTTGACACTATTATTATTATTATTATTATTATTATTATTATTATTATTATTATTATTATTACATGCACAACCAGCTCCACACATTTAAAGCAAATAACAAAAGAAAAAAGTAAAGGTAAAATGAATATGAAAGAAAAATCATGATTGCATAAGTCTTCAAATTTGTGGCAACCCCAAATTTAGCTGCTTAAACTTTCTTTAACAAGCCAAACAACTTGAATGGCCTTATTCTATGTGCAATACTAGTGGACATTATGATTTCAGAATAAAAACACCTAAGTCATCAGTTTGAGCATTGAACACAATATTAAATTTAAAAACATTTGTATCCATTAGTTTGTAAATTCTCAAAGTAGGACACCATAGGAAGAGCTTGAATACTTTTTCAAGGCTCTGTATCCATGTACATTTGCTGCATCTGTCTTGCTAAGAGTGTTCCTGATAAGTCTGGTCTTTTTCCCTAGCACCCTTTTAGCGTACCCAGCTGACTGGGTCTGTATTCATTCCTGTCAGCTACTCAAAACAGAAACTCTGGACAATTTCCAAATAGGTCAAGCACTAACCCTCACATTAAAGCTATAGTGGCATTTACAGTATGATTCACATTTGAGACAACAATTGTTATTTGCTGGTGAACATTACCTCCACAGTCTCTATTCTGTGAAGGTGTTTTTTGTTAGTAGATTCTCATTGATGTTGTCAAGTTATACAGCTTTGCGTCTGGAACCAAATTTAGGCAAATATGTCGAAACCTGCTCACCTTCTTTTCTCCTAAAGGAGACGTAAAAAAAAAAGTCAAGAACAAAATTATTTGATAGTCCTGAGTCAATTCATACCTTTATGTCAATAAACTGAAACACTAAATGTTATATTATATTCTACAAAATGGACTTCAATTTTTAATTTGTTGCCATTTTACATTGGTACATATGTAAAAGTGTATAAATATTTTTAGTGGCATTTTTTAAATACTATTGACTAATATTAGCATGTGCATTAAGTGGTGCATTCCAACACTATGCAACCTAAATAGACTGCATGCATCAGCCTGTAAACGTTATCATCATACATTTTCACCAGGAACTTTTCTGGTCATGTACTGTAGGTCACAATCTATTTGACAAAACTGAAACGTTACAGTTTATCACAAAGGTTGTGTCAAAATGTACCAATACTGAAAATGAATTATAATTATTTTCAGAAATGTGCTTTCTGCTACAAACCACGTACACTAAATCAAGTTGATATAGAAAATCCAAATGTGCAATCTGTTCAGTTAAAAGGTGAACGTGTACAGTATATATACGCTGCTATTCCTCCAGAAAAAAAAGCATAAATAACCTTTTACAATGTATAGTTATTAATAACAAAAACCAAATGCACATGAAACATTTTTTAATTAAATTGCGTTAATGGTGTCTTCAGGTCCAGCACAAAGACTAACTTTGAGTATCATTATTAATTAACACAAGAAAACGAACTCCCCCATTTCTCGAGACCTACAATTACAAACGTTAACAATTACAGGACATCGCTACTTATTCTCCCCCAAAATGCACAACAGCTCCCATAACGTTGACTGCCGCTATTCCCACCCTGAATCACTCCTGCCAAGACTAATTATTAGCGCCCCCTAACAACGTGGAGGCCAGAGTTTCTTTTATCTCACTTGTGTTTGCCGGAGCCTGGAGTCGCAGGAGCCGCCATATTGTGTTCCCACAGACGTTGAGAGGTAATATACTGTACAGAATGTTTTAGTTTTTGGAGTCTTAATTTTTTTTTCACTTGGGGAAAAATAGACGTGTTTTAGGAGCCAGATTGTTAGGCTTGTGTCTAAGGTGGGTTGAGAACAAGAGCTCCGGCCGATGGGCTTTATTTTGCTAGTGTACATTGTGTGTGAGGCTGCTGGGGTTTTTTTTTTCTCAGGCTGCATCTTCAGACCACATTATAGAGGGTGGACACAAATTCTTCTTTATTTTACACCTGCGAGTGTAGCGTGAGGACGGGAGAAAGGCTGGTTTGGGGTTGAAAGAGTCCTTTGGGTTCATTACTTTTTTTAAGGGGGGGGTAGGGGGGTATTTTCTTATCATTTTGGGGGAAAAAAAAAAACAGGTCTGCTGCGTCTTCCTGGGATTGAGGCACATATACGGGAGAAAGGAGGGGAGGAGTAACAGCTTCCAACATGGTTTCTAAATTTTGCTGAAATGCAAGCAGAAAACCAGAGAGGAAAAAAAAATATTTCTCTTTGAGGATTTTAGACTTCTAGTCCTTTTCGTAGTGAACTGATGGAAGGGGACGTCTGATTGTATTGCCGGTCACTGACTTGCACATATACCCACGTATGAGCTTTTATTATATAGCCATATGTGTATTTTAACAACCACCAAGTCTCCATTTTACAAGCCCCTGTTAAATGTGATGCTTTTCTTCAGAGATTCAGTCCGATAAGTCCAGGCATCAGTTTTCCGCCATCGGTTTCCGACTTGTTTTTTTGAGGTGTGTTTTAAGTGATCACATTTCACTGTTCGTCGTGGCCATGATTTTATCGTAATTTCGCAATAGTACACGCCGTGGGGTTTTATGCATGTTAAAATCGCTATTCCTGCGACTTTCATCGCACTTCCAGACGCTTTGACGTTGATTTCATTCATAAATTGAATTGGTGTCATTTCCCTAGTATTTCTGGAGTACGCGTTGTACAAGTCGTATATTTTTTTAGTATTTCATTTCCGATATTTTCATTCGCAGTTTTTTTTTTATGTCTCTGTGTGTAAAATATTGCCGGAATATTTCGAAGAGCGTTTACTGGGCTCTAGTGGATGTTTTCAGATCTTGCAGCACTTCTGTCTTCTTTGGCGGGGCTTCGCACTCAGGAAAGTCCCAGGTCTGACTGGGCCTTCTTTGGGTGTTGGGTGGTGGTTAATTGAGAAGGGGGGTTTTAGGTGCAAAACGCAGTAGTTCGGTGAATCATTTCGTTTTGAAGAGCAAAGACAGTTGATGGGGAAAGTGTAAAACTTTACAATGTGGTCCCACTTTGCCGATTTCGTTTAAGAGAAGGGGTTTCAAATCTACTTCTTCCTCGGCGTGACGAAATGGTATTTTTTTTAAGTGCTCGTTGTAGAACTCGGCCTGTAAAGAAGTTTTAGTACTACCAAATGTGTGGGATTTGTGTCCGGTCTGGGTTGCCGTGGAGGCGCCGAAGGGTAGCTATCGTAACTCTGCGATGAAGTGTGGGGTAGCGCATTGACGCGACTGTCGGATCGATGGTGCTTGGCCGGGCCATTCTGGGTGTTGCTCGGTGTGGACATAAGGCGTGTGCAGTACAGTGTGTGAACGTGCTTGACGTTGTAATTAAAAGCACAACCGCAGCTAGCAATCGATATTTTGTTCTTTACTTTGAACGCTGCCATAAAATTGTGGCATACTGCATAAAGCATAATTAACTATTAATAAACCTCTTCAGCTTTCATTATGCCTAGTTTTTCTCCCCAGTGAAAATCTCCATGTGGAAGAACCAGACCTTTTAAGTGCTTTGAACAGAAGACATTTTTTTTTTTGAAGAAAAGTTTTTGTAAGCTAGACGTTTGTTTTTCCCCTAGCAATTGTAGTCATTCCTAGTTTTTATTAACACTTCCTTCCAGATTTAGGCTGATCTTGTAAGTGATTCCTGCTACAGACGGATCCAGTCCATAATGCACCCGAATTACGCTTGTAATTTTATTCTTTGAGGTTAGCATCCAGTCCTGGGTGCATCCTGCCTTGTGGTCATTACTGTGGCGTCTTCTGCTCTTGGTGAACCTGTATTGGACTACTTGGTTGCTGAAAATGAAATTTAATACATTTCATCCATCACTTTCTAGTTTTGAACTTGATTCTTCTGGTTTCCTCTGCCTTTACAGCGCTGTGTTAACATGTTTTGTCTGAATCATTCTCAGGTAGTTGCCACCGTAAAAAGATGGCCTGTCAAATAGACCAAAATATCATGCATGTTGTTCTTTATTGAAGGTGTATTTAGCAGCAACAGAAATTAACCATTAATTAGCCACAATCTGTCCAATGTATATCTACCAAAAGTTGGCTTCTTTAATGAAACAGCTACACAAGGTTCTTGTGAGATCCAAGTGAGATGGGTATGATGAAGGGTATCCCTCTTGCTTGTACATTTTATTTCATGGGGGGGAAACAAAGCCATGTTTAAGATATTTTATGCATATCCCTGATTTTAAATGTTTAATTATAACAGTTTGTATAAAATCCTAGGGCTCATTAGGATCTTTGAAACTATTGGGATGGGCCGTGCACACACAACTGTCTTGTGTGTATTTGAATGCATTGAAAGCTGCTTTAATGCCTACTGAAAGGTATAAGGTCAGGAAGTGCAAATTTTGTGACGATATGAAACCTTTACACCGTTTTAAATATACTTTCTACCTTATGTTTTTTATGCTTTGTGGCTTTGCATTGAAATCTCACAGGTATTTTTCTCATTATGGGTTCAGATTTAAAACAAACCTCTTGTTCTTCTTTTAGGAGTAGAGATCTTGATTGCAGAGATCCTTAATAACTAGCTGGTTAATAGAGATGGAATAATCTAGTTGCCGAAGTCCTCTCAATTTATTTGAACACATCAGTCTTTTGGAATTTGTGTCGCTCCATTAATACATGCATTGATATATTAAATGCTTGCTACAGTGAGAAATTCTATCCTGGTTAACTGTTACTGATATTTAAAGAGGCACCTTAATTTTTGTACAAATCAGTTTCCGTTGACTATTTGGGAGATCTGCAAAAAAGATTGCAGCTGGGTGGAGTTAGTGAGAGCTAGTCCCAAATATGCATCAAAACTTCACACAATTTCAGCTCCTTTCATAGGTGTTCATTTACAGAAATAGATTCCTCAATGGTCTAAAAAGGTTTGAATAATTGTTGCCCTAACCCAGATGTGAAGGATATTCGAATATTTATTTTGATTTGTTCTGAAACCCTTACGGTTTGTTTTATACAGTTGAAATGAAGGGATCTGATCATGTTTTGTTGGGAAGTCGAAGAATGTTCATTTCATGGTATACCATGGTACAGAATGCAGGTTTTTAAAGTGCAGAATTCCATATCCTAAAAGGTCTCATTTCTGCCTCTGCCGTCTTGATCAATTTTTAGTTTTGAAGTTGGTGGGAGGTGGTGTTCTGTTTCCTGATCAGTATAAACCATCACTATTGAAAATGAACAAACCAAACACCCATTCACAAACCTGCATAAATATGACTTTCTCTTTTCTCAGTAAAACAGATAAGTATCTATATGAAAGTATTTGAAGTGTTAAAACAAAGAGGGTTCATTAACTTGAGTGGACAAATCTGTTTCAGCTGAGCAGCTGCAGGTGGGATCTTTACACAGATTGAGTATATCACCCAATGTAGGTATTTTGAAAGATGAGTTGTGCAGGAAGGGGAAAATAGAATTTCGAAATTACGAAGCTATGTTGGATCATTAAAACATCTTTAAAAACATGATCATTGCTGTTTTTCATTACAAGGCTTTGATTTCATAACTACTCCACATTATTAGTTCCTGATAGAAACGTAGCATCAGTCACCTTCTGTACACTGGTAAAATAAACTGTGTGCAGTTGATCTGTGTAATTGTTCATATTTTTATTTGCAGTATCTTTATGTTTGCAAGCTTGACTGTTCCAGCTGAATATCGCCTCTTTCTGTTTTTGTGTAACTTTTGTACAACAATTGAGTGTCATCTTAAAGATTTCCTATATCTTATTTGAGGCTATTTTTTTGTTTTAGTCTGAGGTCTGCATGCTAATAATTTTAGAGGAGTCCCTTCTGCCTTCCCAGTCCCAGCCGATGAAGTATGGAAGCCTACTTCAGTACTCCAAAAGCAGCAGATTAACAGGGGGGTGTCACTGTTCGCTGTGAATTTCACAGACTTTGTGTGAAGCGACGTGAGGCAGGCTGCCCAGTTTGCAGGCTGCAATCTGTTCATGAGTAGTTCTGTGCCAGTGGGTTAGATAATGGAAGGGCTGGTTTGTCTGTGGTGTTGGTTTTTGCAATTAAAAAAAAAAATTGTAGTGTAGACCCTCGTATTGGTGTGTGACTCCTAGTAGACATTCAGTTCCGTTCAAGTCTTTAGATGTATATGCTTGTCAAAAATTGATCTGAAAAGCTTTACCATATGTAAGGCTTGGGGTGTCAATCCCACTTTCCAAATTCTGGCTACCCTAAATTTCCCCTTAATTCGACAAGCAAAGTCATTTCTTATTTCATTTCTTTCTCCTTCTGGTCTGATGTGCAGTGTGGCTGTCATGTTTCACCTAGGTGGGTGCTGCGCTTCGGTTGACTCCCTATATCCTTGGGGATGACGAGTGCTGTACTTTTTTCATTTTCTGTTGTTGAGATTCCTTTACAACTTTTTTTTTCCCCCCTGCAGCTTATGCTGTTCCATCAGCTGCTCCTGCTAAGCCATCGCATCTGTCCTGAACACTTGCACCTCTTACCTGCAGTAAGAAGGTACCATACGAGGTGAGACTATTCAGTATAAAATGTGTTGTGTTCTCTTCCAGGACTCTCGTGTCCTTCCGTAACTTATAAGTATTAATAAAGGGTGTATAAAGTATGTAAGTAAAGTGGGAGTTTACTCACTTTGCGCGTGCATCCTACATGTATGTAAATACACCATGATACCCTGACAACCCTGTCTTAGTTCCTCTTTAAAATAAAATCAAAGTATTATGTTGTCTCCGATATTGCTTAGCTGCAAGACCTTTTTGTCACCTTGCTTTAATAGGAACAGATCTTATAACCAGTTGTTAATTCATCTGAATTTGACCTTTTCTGGTTCTTAAGTTGGGTATGGTTAGTGCCAGTTTTGACTGATCCAGTCAGGCCCATGCCTTCACATCTGAAACGTATGTAATTATACTTCTGCAGAACTTCTTAGTTTGTGTTCGTGTCATTCCTGCCTTTTAATTAAAGTCGTTTAGACCTACATAAAACGGCAACCACTTGAAAAGCAAGTTGAGGAGAGACTGCTTTGATATTTGTTTGCTAAATCTCTTTGCCGCACCTGCATCACTGTGTTTTTTTTCAAAGTCTGAAATGAGCAGAAACAGGTTAAAAAGGTCTTGTCATGCAGGAGATTTCAGTAAAGTGATCAGTTAGAATTGGTAATTAATGGCTCAGTTAGAACAAAAATCATAAGAGAGAGGGTTCCCCGGGACCAGGCTGGGAGATTTCAAAAGGTTTTCGCAGGCCTTGATTTGTTTTCTTCTGTATGTGTGTGTTTTCAGTAGAGTGTGAAGGTCAAAACAACAGCCATGTTTGAGTGGTTATAAGGTCACTGTAACTGACCTACTTACCACTGAAAGGATACAGCATTTTAACTCCTGAAACCACCTGTCATTGCTTAATTGTAACGAGTGCTTTTAAGTTCATTAACTGTACTGTGCCTTCATGTAAAACATATCTGGATTTTTACTTCGTCATCAATAAAATTTCCATTTTTAAATTATACATCTTCTGTAAGCTTGATAATTTTTGCTCCAATGTATACGGATGCTCTATATAGATACAGAGTCTTAATGTTTTAATTTGTTGTAATTCTCCTCAATATAATAGTATAATATATTTAGTGTGGCTGCGGGCCATTTGTCTAGCATAGATAGATTGTGTGATAGTTTGCCTTCCTCCTGGAAATGGGAGCGTAATAAATCTTTATTGCATTATTAATGGAACTGCAAGATGGCTGTGGTGGAAAATATACAGTGCTGTCAGAATGTATTCACCCCCCTTTGGATTTTTCCAGAGGTTTTTTGCAAACTCAACTAGAAAGGGTGGCATTCTGGTGCAGTGGTTAGCAGTGTTGTCTTGTGACTCTGTGGCCCTGGGTCCCATTCCAGACCAGGGGTGCTCTGAGGAGTTTGTTCTTCCCGTGTTCACATGGTTTTCCTCCAGCTCCTCTGGTATCCTCCCACAGTCCTAAGACCTACTGGTAGGTTTAATTGGCTTCTGGGAAGAGTGGACATGGTGTGAGTGTGGGCCTTGTGATGGACTGATGTCCCATTGTGGTTAGAAAATGGGTGAAAGGCTGGACTTGAAATATTATTGTGTCACTGATCTACACAAGTTCCTCTCTAATGCTAGAATAGGAACGGGCGTTCTTGAAACCTTTTACATGTAAATTAAAAGAAAATGCTGAAATGTCTTGATTTTCAGTATTCGCGCCTTTTGTTAGGACATTTCCAAATTGAGGTGCATCCGATTTCCTTATGAGATTGTTCTTAAACCAGGCGAGAGTCCACCTGCGGGCATTTCAATTGGTAGATGTGAGTTCAGAGGAAGTACACCTGTCTGTATAAGGTCCGTCAGTTGCCAATGTATCACAGAGCAGAAACTCTGCCATGAAGATCAAGGAGCTGTCTGCACAATTCTGATAATTAAGTAAAGGCATAGATCTGGGGAGGGGTATCAAAACACATCTAGGATGTTGAGAGTTCCCAGGAGCATAGTCAGGTGTATCAAATGGAACCAATACAGATCCACCCACACTCTTTGTAGAATTGGCTGTCCGAACAACTGGACAAGAAGGATCTTGGTCAGAGAAGTGAGCAAGAACCCAATGATGACTCTGACAGAGCTACAGGGTTCCATGGCCGAGATTGGAACCTGTTTAAGGACATACAGTGGGTATAGAAAGTCACCAACCCCTTTCAAAATGTGTACCTTTTGTTGTATGCCACTCTGAAAATAAAAACAAATTAAATTAGGCTTGTTCCATTTTTATTTACACACAGTAACCCACATTAGTCAAGTGACAAATACAATTCTAAAGCATTCTGAAAATTAATATTACAACAGTAAAATACCTTATTTGGATAAGTGAACACCCCCCTTATAATTGCATTTGTGAACTTGCTCAGGTACTGTATAACCAATCACCTTACAGATCACACAACAAACTGATTGGCTCCCACCTGTGATCAATTTTGGTGATTTTGATTAGTTCAGAACAGAGGCAGCCATTTCTAGAGGACTCCACTGCTTGGAAGTGCATTTCAAAGCAAGGAATCCACTTTGGGTGGGAAAAGATTTCAAAGGCTTTAAGTATCCCATGGCGCACAAGACCATCATTAAGAAGTGGAAGGCGTGTGGCATCACCAGACCTTGCGTAGATCAGGCCGTCCCTCCAAACTGGATGACCGAGCAAGAAGGAGACTGATCAGAGAGGCTACCAAGAGGCCGATGGCAACTTTGGGCGAGCTACAGGCCTTTATGGCAAACACTGGTCATTGTGTGCATGTGACAACAATATCACAAGTACACCACAAATCTGGCCTGAATGGGAGGGTGGCAAGAAAAAAGCCACTCCTTAAAGATTCTGTGGCTAAGTGGCAAAAGGTACTGTGGTCAGAATCTTAACTTTTTGGCCGGAATACAAAACACTTCATCTGGCAAAAACCCGATACATCTTTCCATCCAGAGAACACCATTCCTACAGTAAAGCACATTGGTGGCAGCCTCCTGTTGTGGGGGTGTTTTCTCTTCAGCTGGAACTGGGATAGAAGGGAAGATGGATGGTGCAAACTACAGGCAAATTCCTGAAGAAAACCTGCAGCCCCTCAGCCAGGAAATTGAAAATGGGAAGGTGGTTCGCCTTTCAACATGACAATGACCCAAAGCACGCCGCTAAAGCAACCGTCCAATGTCTGAAGGACAGGAATGTGCTTGAGTGGCCGTGTCAGAGCCCCGACCTAAATCCCATCGAAAATCTTTGGAATGACTTGGAGGGCAGTACATCAACGGTCACCATGTAGTTTTGACTGAGCTTGAGCAATTCTGTAAGGAGGAATGAGCAAACATTCCTCCCTCTAGGTGTGCAGGGTTGGTAGAGATGTATCTTAACAGTCTCAAGGCTGTAATTCAAGCAAAAGGTGGTTCCACCAAGTATTAATTCAGGGGGGTGTTCTCTGATCCAACTCAGTTATTCTACTTTTTATTTTCATAAAATGTGCTTTCTTTTTTCACTTGGATGTTGCAAGGTACAGTTTGTAAATAAAAGTGGAAAAGGTCTGATTTTATTGGTTGTCTTTTTGGGCTTTAGGGCAACAAAAGGTGACGATTTTGAAAGGGGGTGGTGAGTTTCTATATCTCCTGTAAGTCTCTGCAGCACTACATTGATTGTCGCCTCAATGGGAGAGTAACAAGTAATAGGTTTATTCCATGCTGAAAAAAAGAAGAAAGAGAGCACAACGTTTCGGCCGTGGAACCTTCTTCAGGTCTTCAATGGGAGAGTGGCTAGATGGAGGCGAATCGTATGCCAGGAGCTTGCAAGAAGGCACATCCCCAGGATAGACGGAACAAATTCAGGCAAATCCTTGAGGCGAACCTGCTTCTGTTCGCAAAACATTTTAGATGGGGGCAGAAATTCGTGTTCCAACAGGACAACTACCCCAAGTGTACAAGTGCCAAAGCAACCCTGGGGTAGCTTCAGAACAGGAAGGACCATGAGTGACCCAGCCGAATCCCAGCCTTGAATCTCGGCAGGACTGGGAGATTGCGGTTCACTGACACCCCCCTTCCAAACTGTGAAGGTAACCCGAATCCAGAAGGACAAAGCTGCAACATGTCCAAGAAGACTTAAAGCTGTAATTGCTGACTAACGGGGGGTGACTTAGGGTGATTTATATTGACTTAAGGGGTTGAATACTTCGGTCAAGAGGATATTGCCACTTTTCATATTTTTGTTACACCAAACAATATTTTCACTTCTTTAAATTACTGTGTATGTGAATCAAGGAAAATGTGATTTCAATGCATTCAAAATTCTGGTTGTAACAACATTTGCCGTTGTCCCAGGGCGTGAATACTTTCTGAAGGCACTGTAAATACTGCAGTTCAGACATTAGGAAGCATGCTTACATCAGCTTGAAAGCCCTATCAGTATCACTTCCCACTTGGAATTCACCTTCTTGACCAGTAAACTGAAGCATTCATTGTTCCCTCACCTTGCTTTTGAGTGTGTGACTAATTTTTGATCCTGCTTTGATAGTGTGGATTTAACCATAAATCAGTCTCGTGTACGACTGCTTCAGCAAAAAAGAAAATCAGAAAAGCTGTATAATTAAAGGTTTTTGTTAGGGAGTAACCATAAAGTAATGTGTATTTTGAATGATTTCATCATTTAATAAGCAGCTGCATGGAAGTACAAACCTGCTAACATCTTGAATTGTTTTTACCATGTCTGATTGACATGTTAGTTGGGTTTAACTTTTCTTTTTGTCTTGAGATATGTTCCTGCTCTTTTAGTAGTCTTGCTTATTGTTGACAACACTGTTAAGAATAAGCAGTTGAGTGATAACGTAAAGGTTTACGTATCCAGCTGCAGTTTCTCAAGGACCACCAATCAGTGAAAGTGCATCTTCTCAAGTGAATTACAGTAATGTTAAGTAAGATATCCACCAGTCACCCTGAATTGTAAATAAGATTGTACAAACAGTATCAAATATCATAGCACAAATTATTTAAGAAGTGACATTTGTACCAAAATATCTGAATGGATTTGGACAATGATAATGATAATTGTATTCTTAGTGGTTTAAACAGAAGCAGAATGTTAGGTGAATACATTGCACTGCCTACACCTGAAAAACCATTTGCTTAGAAAAGATAGACCCCCAACCTCGAAGAATGTTTTTCATCCTGTAGGACTTAGTATAAATATTTCGGATTTTTTTTTTACACTGTATGTCTGCATTGTTTAAAATCACTTTGGATGTAGTCCCGATTTTAATAGTTTTCTTACAGTTATAAGAAACAAGTTACAAGGATAGACTGACTAGACATTCTTTAGTCAGTTCTATCTAGAATGTAGACATTCTCTACTTTTTCCCCTGTGGATATCATGATATTTACTGGGCTTGTGATATATAGAATTTAATATTTGGATTGTGGCATCTTCAGCAATTTTGTGGATCCTTCCAATTACAGTGTGTGCTGGTTGCTTTAGGGCTCCCTTTTTATAGGCAGTGAGTCACAGACTTCATAAATTAGCAGATGTGCTTAATGAAAAAAAAAGTAGTGTATTGTGCACTCATATCCACAACTGCTTCAGTGCTTTTTTCATATGCAGTGTGTTTTTGTATGGTTTTTCTGTTTTTTTTCTACACCGTTCTGTATAGAAGGATCATTGTCACTTGTGAAATATTTTTTTTACTTCTAGATTTGAATTGCAACTACAAATAGTGATTTTTTTTGTTCCCCTGATAGTAAGGCATCTTTTGGTGAGTTGTAATTTTCTATGGCATTTGCCTTTACTACTGGTCATATCTCTTTCAAAGCTGGAAGAGTTGCTTGCTTATAAAATGTAATTTTATAGGTGTAAACATGCCAGGCTTTCTTGTTTCCTGAAGGCTTTCTCTGGAGAGGAATGTTATCACTTGCAAATTGTATGTTTCGAGCTTGTACACAAGTATCTAGGCCAATAGATTAAATGTTGCCATAGTAACCAGCTATTATGTTTTATGTTTATGGTTTGAATCCTAGTAGATTTTGGGTGCAAATATAGAAGCACTTTTATTATTCTGTTTTGCTTCAGCCATTTCTTTTTCTCTTGTACTATTTTGCCAGTGCTAGTGTCCTGTTCTGTGAGCAGTCAGATGCCAAAAGAGTGGATTGTTTCCATCTTGCGATGGTTCTTAATTCAATAGCAGTTTCTCTATAAGAGTGAGAATGTTAGTGTAATTATATTTGAACTTGGAAATTGACCAATATGAGAGTTCATAGATGTGGAGGAAACGAGTAATTATGTGAGCGTATTGTAATAGGTTGGTTCAAATAGTACAGGTGGTTATAGTATGGACTACACAGGGGTGACAGCACTAGAGAGTATATAGAGGCCCATATGAGAATTGGCTCAGGTGGACTTTTATGCAAATTGATCTCTAGGTAGGAGTATTTGGAAGTTGCTCAATGAGTGACAGTCTGCTCTATGACTCTGTATTGGATGGACACTTACTCCGAAAAGATACAGGAAGTTCTGTCCTGTTAATTTTCTGAAGAGAGTGCAATCCATACATGGTTATTAAAAAATTCCATTATTCTTAATTCCATATAAATTCAGCTTCCTGCCATTTATGTTATCCACTCCTTGAACTATGTTGTAACCTAGCAGAAGGTTATCTTCATCTGCAGTCTTATTGTTGGTGCACAATCCTTACTACCTTCAGAAATGCATTGATGAGTTGCAGTATATTGTCATTATTGGCAAATGTGGTAGGTGGTTTTACTGCGGTTTATATACAGCATCTCTGTTATATTTCTGATACACTGCTTGACAGTGTTTCAGCAAATGAAGTATTTCAGAAATACAATTCACAAGCTTTACAATTTTTTAAGTAAAGGACAAATTTCCTTTGTGGTAATTCTTTCACTGCAGAAAATATCCTTAGGCTGAAAATTGCCAGACATTTTGTACATATTTTCTTCTGAAGTTAAGGTACAGTGTATTTTTAGGGAGATAATGTTTTATAAACAGTCACCTGCCTTAAACGATAGGCTGAGTTTCATACATTTTAACATTTCGTTGAAGATTACAACTTCACTCCAGTACTGGCTGTTTTGTTCTGTGCATTAACAAGTCACTTTTTCCGTCTCGGTTAGCGCTTAGCTAGTTATTTTAAAGTGGTACATTTTACCAGTGAGAACACACCCTTTTTTTTTTTAATCTGTGGCACGGCAAAACCTTCGCCAACTCTACACAAATACACTATATCGTGATGCTTGAACAATATCATTCCCTTGCCTTTACTGCGGTGGTTGATGTAGAAGGTTCTTTTCCATTTGATAGTTATCTAAACTACTTTTAAAAACAGAATTGGAATGTAAACTTGAATTTTCTCCTTTTTTGTGTAATAAATGTAGATATTTTTTAACAGCAGGAGTCTAATGGCTGTGGGTATATTTCCCCAAACGTCTCTTGAAAGTTTAATGCAGATTTTCCAAGGGGCATCCTATGTTGTTTTCAGGTTGCTTATGAATACAATTTGGTTTAAAGCATGCCAGATTCATTTTCCAGTTTTCAAACTTCCAGTTTTGTAACCTACTGCTGAGATTACTGGGGGCAGTGTTTTTTCATTCGTTTTTGAGGCAAATTGAGACAGGTTGCACAGTTCAGACAGCCTGTAGTGCCGCTGGCGTAGAAGCTAAATCCCATGTTTGCCTTTCTGTTTTCAGGTGATCCCCAAAAATAGTACCTTCGCCGCTTTGTTCGGAATATGTCAGGACCAGTCCCAAGTCGAGCCCGAGTTTACGCTGATGTAAACACACAGAGACCCCGGGAGTACTGGGATTACGAATCGCATGTTGTCGAGTGGGGGTGAGCCTTTTGGCCGTTTTGTTCTTTTAAACTGTACTTTATCACACCTGACGTAAGTTATAACCTTTATCCAAATATTTAGCCATCAGTCAGTGCAGTTCATATGTTACTTGAAAGTCTTAAGATTTTTTTTTAAAGGTTGAATGAGTTGGAAATTGTAGTTAAAATAATGTAACATATTAAGTACTCAAATAACTTTGTCATTGCATTTGAACTTTTCTTTAAAATAGATTATACAAGTTGCTTTCATAGCTTAAATTTCTTTCCGTGGTTGGGTCAGTACATTTGTATTTTTTCTGATAAGGCAAGACGTTTTTTGCTGACATTCACATTTTGTACTAGAAGAAGTGTTTGTGCTAACGATGTTTCATTCTCGGTTGGAGCCTAACCACTGAAGTCCTTTCCAGCCACTCAAAGCTCAGGTCACTGACGGGTTGTAGTCATTGTCAAGTGAAGCAAATATTAAGGCACAGACGTTTTTTTACATGTGTTTTGGCATTTCTACATGTATCTTAATTTCTTTTTGATTCAGAAATCAAGACGATTATCAGCTGGTGCGGAAACTAGGCAGAGGCAAATACAGCGAAGTGTTTGAAGCCATAAACATCACAAACAATGAAAAAGTAGTCGTCAAAATACTCAAGGTATGATGACTTTGTTCAAATCATTTATACTTCTGCAAATGAGGGCACGATAACCGGCGCTATCTGTTGTCCTGTTTGTGATGGGATTTATTTTGCTAGCCCAGAAAGCTGTCATAGGAAGCACGTGCAACTGTCAAAAATGCATTAGCATCACAGCTGTAATGTAAAGCTAATGTTGCTGTTGCTCAATGTAGCAATTTACTTTCCAGAAACTTGGAACCTCAAAGGCTATATATAATGATTTGTTTTTTCAGTTCTTTTTGAGATTTTTTTTCTGTCATTTTTTATAAAATATAAGTCAATAAGATTTTTACATGCTGTTTAATATAGTAAATGTTTAATATGTTTATACATGCATGAATATTGGCATATTTTTAATTAAGAAAAAACATTATTTGTGGAAGTGAGTTTTGCAAGCTTTGTCCAATGGACTCATAGTTTTACTGTTATTTGTAAGTATAATAATATATCAGGGACTACTTGTATCTACTGGGATACTAGATGAAATATTCTCTAATTTATATGTTCCTTGAGTACTCTAATTTATATTCTGAACACTTGATAGGTAAAGCTGTCTACATGGCAGTAATGCATATATGATCAATCTCGATGCATTTTATTCTTTGAATGTTCTTTCGAATCCTCAGATGTGTTGTTTTTAAAAACTCATTTATTTTTCAACTTTACCGTTTATAAATTGATTTCTTTGGCACTGATTTTTTTTTTACCCAAAGCTTGTACAGAAAGGCTTATTTATAAGGTATGAAATATTCATATCCTTTGTGAAAGTGGTTTCCGTTATGGTTGTATAGTAAAATTCTGCATTGTATTGACTGTTTACAGCCAGTCAAGAAGAAGAAAATCAAGCGAGAAATTAAAATTCTAGAAAATTTAAGAGGTGGCCCCAACATAATCACGCTTCTAGACATTGTCAAAGATCCTGTGGTGAGTTACTGTTGGCATTCTGTTAAGTTCTTAATTACAATTTGCTGCAATTGTTCCTATGGTTAAAATCACTGTTTGTCAAATGCCGATTAAAAGTTCTGCAATTAAGACTTTCCTTCAACTGAAACTGTATTGGTTCATCTCAGTAAACCTTTTCTTGAAGTTCTTGGCTTATACCATAACGTAACGGTATACTTGAAAAAGGTAAAACCACTTCAGCTAACTTGATGCATAAATGGCTAATAAAACAACCTAACAAAAATTCTTCATTTTTTTATAATGCATTCCCTTTAGTCTCGGACGCCAGCCCTGGTTTTTGAACATGTAAACAACACAGACTTCAAGGTGAGCGTGTTCACTCCCCCCTTTTTTTTTATAAGTCTTTTAACAAAGCTGTAGGTCTGCAAATAGTTTTCCATGTACATTATTCAAGTTGCCAGGCTTAATAGATATTATAAACAGCCGTGGCTGTTAACACTTGACATCTGCTTTAAAGACATGCTCTGCATTTTCTTGAATGTCTAAATTGAGTTTCATGGTCTTAAAATGTTTGTCCATTTTCGCACATTTTTTTCTTTTTCAGCAATTGTATCAAACGTTATCAGACTATGACATTCGGTTCTACATGTATGAAATCCTAAAGGTAAGTCTTTGTGTCTTCTAATGTGCTTGTGTTCTGATGCTGTTTTGTGCGGGTTGAGCTAGCATCTTTCTGTCCATTTAAAGTCTTAAACCATATCTACCCCTCCTCCACAGAACGCCTCAACAGGTGCAAACACTTCAAGTCTTCTGTAGACGGGGTTGATGTTGCCTTTCATCAGCGGGCTTTGATTAAGACCAGTAAAGCTCAAGTATTTCTGAAACAAATAAGTTGAGTTAAAAGATGTTCTCACCTTTTCTCATAGTTGTAAATTTAAAGCCTCTGAAAAGAGTTTGAACTATTTAGGCAAGCGATGTCAAGCAAGCCAGTGGGGGTTGTGATTTGCATGTACAGGCTTTCCTCACTGCCCATCTATATACAGCTTTCATATTCCTTCCAAACTGCAAGGAGCACAGTTCTGCCATGGAAACCTTTAAAAAAGTGCGCTAGGTCTCCACCAGCTCATGTCTTGTCTCCTTCGTGCATCATGTGTTTCTGCCCAGCTAGGTGTTAGGTTGTGTATGTTTCACACTATCATTCCCATGATTTCAGTGCTCTTTTCTTTTCTTTTGCTGTTTATCATTTGTGTTGTAATTTAATTGCAATGTTTTATTACTTTCAGATGTTTATGGTTCAAGTTGTTTATTTTTAAGGGAGACATCTGCAACTAAGTTTTACAAGGGGGCATTCCACTTTTTTTCCTTGCTTTACGGTGTCCAGGTTCAAGTCACTTTCATATGGAAGTGATGTACAGTGTCTACAGAAAGTCCACCCACCCTTTTCCAAAATTAACACATTTTGTAACCTAACAGTCTGAAATCAAGGCACATGAAGAATTTATTTTACCTTTGTTTACACATAGTAACACAGCCTCCAACTGAAAAGAGCAATGCTCCAGCATTCTGAAAAATTAAATAATTAAAACCCTAGAGAAATGGGTTGAATAAGTGTACACACACCTTAATAATAGCAATTGTAAATGAGCTCTGTTATAACAGTTGACTTCACACAATAAGCTAAATTAACCTCCACCGGTGTTTGGTTTCTTTAATTTTTTTAGTCATCTGGATGTGTTTGGCTTTCCTGTAAAGTCTGCTCCTTGCTTTCTTTCTTGGTGGGCTTCTGAGCACTGCTCCTTTTCATTAAAGATTGATTTTTTTTCTATGCATTGATTCACAGGTTTAACTAGCATCGCAACAGGTTTAACGATGCTATAATAAGAATAAGAATTATATCTTTTTGATGTTTTTTCCTACACATTTGCAATCCTTAAATGTAGCTTGCAGACGATGAGTACGCTGATAAATGACAAAGTAACAGTGTCGCTAAAATAACTGGATGTTTAGCCCGACGTTTTAAAACATCTCGGAACCAGATAGATAATCTGTTGATGTTGGCAGATGTTTTCATTTTAAAACTTTCATCTACTAGTGCTTCATTTGTTCTGTGTCCTTTTGACATGATTGCATTTTGTTAGCACATTATCGTATAGAAGATTACATTGTGTTAATTATAGGCCTTTGATAAACCTGGCATTGCCACAGTATGGGTCCCTGTATGTTGTGGCCATGAAAGCCTCCTCCATCCCCCTAGTTTTTAAAATCTAAGCCATCTCACCCAAACACACAAGTGTTTCTTGAGTATTAGTACCCTTTTCCCACTAGTACTGCTGAGCTGATACTTAACCAAGCACGCCCAGTGTGGCTCAGGGTTCCCTTCCCCCCCGGAGGATTGTGGTTCATGATGTTGCATGCAGTGTAGGCACAGGAGAGCTTCTTGCGAGAGAGGAGCAATTTCATCTTGGTAGAAATGAACACCTGAAGAAGAACAATGTTTTTGCATTTTCCTTTTTTTTCATAGTGCTTCCTTGAGTTTTGGCTTTCAATTCCCTTTGACATGCTGAACTAATTTGCTTGGTCTGGGTGTTCCAGACTAATAAATAGGTTGGATGCTATACTTCTTGAGGCATGAACATACCGGCTCTTCCCGAGTAATAGAATGATTTGCCTAAATTGTAATGAGCCTTCAGCAGACCAGTGCTGAACTCTTCTTTCTTTCCACTACTGGATGAATCATTCTGTTGTGCACTGACTTAGCAGAGCGTAAGGGCCAAATGCAGGCCACTCCAAAGGTTTCAGTACAGTAATGGCAAAGAGCTATATAGTGCCCTCTCGATGCAGTCAGAGCATCAATGGAATGGGAACAAAAAGCATAATGTAACAGAATGAATTATAGATTGGATTGACTTAAAACACAAAGTCATGATCTCATTGCACAGAGCAAAGTCATATTGTACATATTCCTTGGAATTAAAAAGGCAGCTTTTCTCCAAACGAACAGATTATCCAGTTTATAAATCTTTGTTCCAATTTTATCAGTATAAATTAATCTGGTTGGCATTTTAACTGCCTTTCAAGTGAATGTGAATCTTGTGATTTACGTGATTTGTCAAGGAAGAAGAGGTTATTGTAAGAGAACCTGGAAGACTCTTGCTTATTTTCAAAGCTGTCTCTTTTTCCTGTCCTTAGGCCCTGGATTACTGTCACAGTATGGGAATCATGCACAGAGATGTTAAACCACACAACGTAATGATTGACCATGAACACAGGAAGGTATTGAACCTACTGCTTATGACTCGTTTTTTAAAATAAGTTACTCATTGTAGCCAGCAGTTGAAGGACTAAAATTGTGTAAAACCGTTTGTTCATGTAGAGTGAATGAGAAGTGAGTCTTAAAGATCGCCAGGTGTGTTCATGGCACTTCTGGATTATCTCTTATCAGTGCAGGAAACCAGGAGAATTAATTTGGCGTAGGTCTAATTTCACTTTTCTATTCAGTTAATTAGGTAAAGCATGTTCCTTTCTGAGGTAAGATAAGTTGAAGAAATTTTGTTTTTGCTCCTTTGCCAATACATACAGCTAATTAGTGATAACACATTAATGCATTATACTAAAGTTTGCCCTTGTAATTGCTGAGATGTGTGTTATTAATAAGGTATGATTTTTATTTTGTTTTGCTGTTGATCCTACTCAAATCTGCTTTTACTTTATGGATATTATGGATGTTGGACATAGTATGGAAGTTCATGTATTCATTTTTAACAAATATTAAGCTGAGCATTGGTTTTCAGTGAACAGCCTTGATGCTTATTAGGCTGTACATAAATGGTAGTAAGACCATGCATAAAATCACCTTTAATTTAATTCTGCCTCCATGTTGCAAAAACATAACTGGAAAAATTCTAAAAAAGCCTTGTTTCTTTTGAAACTTGATTTCCCTCATTCATATTCTCTTTTTCAGGTTGTATTGTATTTTTCTCATCACTTACTATTGAAAAGGAAAAGCGCTCTTGCGTTTTTTCAGGTGGGGTCTACCTAATTGTAGGCGATTTATAAATGATATAAATAATCACTTGTCACTTACAGCTTCGTCTGATAGACTGGGGTTTGGCAGAATTTTACCATCCTGGCCAGGAGTACAATGTTAGAGTTGCATCCAGGTACTTCAAGGGACCTGAACTGCTGGTAGACTACCAGGTGAGTTCAGCTTGTATGTCTTATTCACTGTTAAAACACTTTATAACATTTTACATCCATTATTTAAATGTTTTTAATACAAGAGTTTTTATGCAGTTATTCATATTGTATGTTCAAGGTTAAGCCTGTTTGTAAAGTTCATTTTAATCCAGTTTTGCCAGCAAGTGTTATCTATTTCCCAATCCACACTTTAGTCTTTTTTTTAACATTGAAGTGGTTTGTGGATTTTGCTCTGTGAATCATTCTTTTTTGAGAACGAGTTCCAATCAATAATATCTTCTTTTAGGAAAACATTTTTGAGACTGCAGTGCCATATACATGACTTTTGAAATGTCACATTAAACACAACTCTTTACAAACATTATTCCTGTTTTGAATGCCAGCTTTTAGTTTGGTATCTCTGATTTGTTTCTAATTCCATGTTTTTGGTGGTTTAGATGTATGACTACAGTTTAGACATGTGGAGTTTAGGTTGCATGTTGGCCAGTATGATCTTCAGAAAGGAACCCTTCTTCCATGGACATGATAATTATGATCAGGTATGGAAATATTATTTTTTTTAAATTAAAAATGCTATTTAAAGTTAATATGTGGTTTGAGCATAATTTCTGATGTTTTTTTCAGCTTGTGCGAATTGCTAAAGTTCTGGGCACAGAAGACTTGTACGATTACATTGATAAATACAACATTGAATTAGACCCTCGGTTTAATGACATTTTGGGCAGGTATGTTTTTTTTACTTTCAAGCTTAAAATGTATACCTTTGTTTAGCTTTCATACAAAAAAACATGAGATCCATACAGAACACAGAAATTATATTATTGTGTTCAATTTTGATGAAATTTCTGAGCTTGTTTTACAATTAAAAAAAGATATGGGATAATCTGAAACTATAACATTTAAATGCTTCACTGTATGTCACCTTTGTTTGCTCAAGTCGACTTGCATCTGTCTACTGGAAAGATAACCTGAAATAGTGGATAACTATCTTGCAGTTTCAGCCATCAGGAATGATGGTGCTTTATATTGTAGAAATTATCTATCAGATAAGTAATTCAGTGGTTTTTCACAAGAGGATATAGTGTTATGGGCTACATTCACATCAAAATAAAATACTCATCAGGAAGCCCATCAGGATTCACACGATTTTCACGTTCATCCTGTCGATACTAGAATTATACCTAAGTTGATGTTAGTTGAAAATTAGCTTCTTGCATGCACCATACACTTATCCTATGAAATACTGTAAGTCAATGATGGTAAATACAGAAATGGTATTGTCTTAAACTGTTTATTTTAAATAGCTGATCTTATTTTACAATTCAAAACTATACAGGATAATTGAAAAATTAAGAACAGTCTTTATGTAGTATCTTAGTGTCTCTACAGGCCTAGTTAAAACTAATTTTGATCAACTGATGGCAAAAATCTGGTTCCCGGTGAAGACAATGCTTTTAAGCAAGGCTCTTTACCCAAATTACATGAGTCAACCCATCTAGGGACAAACAAATATCAGGATTGCTAGGGGATACCCCATAATGGTCCAGTGTTTCATCCAGAAATTGCATTGTATTCACAGCTTGACTAACCCTGCAGAAAGCAGGCCTAGCTTGGACTATAAGAGCCATTAAGACTCACGATGGACTTTAAGATGGACCATAAGACTTTAACCTTACTTTGCTGTTTAGTGTTGTCTCTTCACTTTGCTTTTGAAAATGAAGACCCGAAATCTGCCTACTCTGCAATTTGTTTCTCCAACAGACATTCCCGCAAAAGGTGGGAGCGATTTGTACATAGTGAGAACCAGCACTTGGTGAGCACTGAAGCACTGGATTTCCTTGACAAACTGCTTCGCTATGATCATCAAGCCCGTCTCACAGCAAGAGAGGCCATGGAGCACCCTTATTTCTGTAAGTTACACAGCTAACTGGAAATACTCTGTTTTAAGCCTTTTAAGATGCCTTTTTTTCCACGTTAATTTAGGGAATGATAGATGAAATTGTCATTTCCACTATGTAAGGGAAATGCAGGAGATCCTTGATCTTGTAATATGTTAATATACCTCAAAATCATTCTTCATCAAAACAGGCTGTTCCTGGGTGTAATGCATACCCGAAAATACTTTGAAATTTGGTAGAGTCTACAAGGGATTCTCATAGTATTTGCACTAGTATATCACTGAAGGTGTTGCTTTGGTTCCAAAAAGCTCTATGGATCACCAGTTTCAGCTTGTCCCTGAATAAACAAGTATAAAATGTTTCCCTTCATCTGTAAAGTGAGGGAAGTGTCATCTTAACGTTGGGGGGGTTTCCAAGCGAAATGAACAGGAATGAGTTCAGAACAAGCTGCATGCGGTCTGAGAGAAGCGTAGTGAAGAGCAACACTCATGTTGTATGATCCATGTCAACGTATGTAGTGTAGAATACCACCATGAAAGTAAAACATATTTTGCTAGTACTTCAGTGTTTTCTTGAATTACAAGATTTGTACAGGTAGTGGCATAAAAAGAAACACTAATTTAAAGTCACCTCATTTGACATTGAGCCACCAGGTTTTGCCAGTTCAGCATGTCTGCACCCTGGTATAGAGTCTGGTGTAGAATTCAACGTCTTGAATTCTGCTGGAGGCATGTTGCACCACTCTTTGGTGAGAAAGTCTTGTCAACTAAAACCTGGTTAATGGAAGCTGAAAACCCTGTCTCAGACATCATTCCAAAATATCCCAGCAATGCTTGATTGGGTTCTGGTCTGGTGACTAAGAAGCGCACGGCATACTGATTTTATTCATATGTCATATTCACTCCGAGACCTCCGCATAGTTTTTGGATTGGGGTGTTGTCAGACACCCTTCCTGGAAAGAGAGGATGGCTGCAAAATGTGGTGAAGATGCATGCTAAATACCATTAAGTAGAGAATACAACTGATCTGGCCTTCTAAGGGAATGCGTGTTCCTAATCCATGCCAGGAACATGCAAGTCCCAGCATCTTTCACTGTTTGAGCCGAGCACTCGGAACTGTAATGTTCTTAGGCTGGCGCCTCACACACTCATTTGTTTGTTGAGAATAAGGCATAAGATGATTCATTTGACCAACTTGTGTTACTTCACTGCTTGGCAGTCCATTGCTTGTGCTCTGTGCACCACTGCACTTACCCACACAGCCTGCTTCAAAGTCACTGACGTCTCCTCTTGCGGCCATGCTAGCCATTAGTATAGGCAATCGGATATGTACAGCATTTCTATACATGACCCTTAGCATGCTGGGTTGAGTCCCACTTGTATAGAAGCCCTTGCTTTAAAATACTTGGTGTCCATCAGTCACCCAGGTGTTTTCATGTTTTTGTCCATTACCTGTGTATTAGATTTGTAGTGTAATTTATGAAATAGTTTGAGGCTAAAATTGTTTCATCGCTGTTGGCTTTATTGGGATGCTGTCTTATGAGTGAATCAAATGATTACTTTGCTTCTGAAAGCACATGACTTTTATTTCAGTAAACAATGTATAATGAAACACTTTGTTTTGCGAAAATTGTCTAGTCTTAAGTTTCTTGCTTTTGTAGCAGTCATTTACACTAATTTAGAGCAGAACAATTGTATTTATTTATGTATTTATTTAGTAAAAATCGCACGCTGCCTCGCTGGGGCACATATCCACCTTTATAAGAAGTTGTTGCATGCAGCGAAAGCACCATTCATTTTGAAGAACGCTATTGTTTTCTCTTGCTTTCACAAATGCAGTCATACTCCACTGGAGTCGGTTTTCATTTTAAACAGTATAGATAAGGTAGCACAAGACAGCCCAGCAGGTGGCATTATTCTAGATTCATAAGCACAGAATACTGGAGCAGAAACAGCCTGTAAACAGGCTGTATGTGACTTGGTGCTGCAAGAGAAGCTGTCTGAGGTCCTGTCTGTGCTTATCTAACCATAAATAATGCTTTGCATTTTTCAGAACACCTAGATCCAGTGACTGTTTTTATGGTTATGAGTGCAGAATTGTTCAGTTTAGTTACTAAAATGGTGTTTAAGCATCATGAAAAGCCCTGTACTAATATCAGGAGCACGTTTGAAAACAATCTGTGGTAGCAGCTCATCAAGAGCTGAATATATTGGTTTGTTTGGAGGGAATATTTTTTAAGTGGGGCCAATCACTATGATTTGTGCATTTTTGCAATCGGCACTATAAAATATTAATCTCTGTGGGGGGGGAATGGATATTTTGATGGCAAATGTTGTGGGCAATTGTTTGATCACCATGAAGTGAAACGTGCAAATCTCTGCTCCTTTTGCGTGACAGATCCCATAGTGAAAGACCAAGTGAGGATGGGCTCCTCGTCGGGAATTTCTGCCGGAAACACCCCAGTTAGCTCCTCGAGTATGATGGCAGGTGTGTGATGAGAGCTGCTGTGATTCAGTCTTCCTGCCTTATTTCGGTCATGGTCCTTTACAATTTAAGAATCTTTAAAGTATCGTTTATGTCCAATAAACATCATTTTACTTCGCTGTATAGTTGATTATAAGAGAAGTAATGCAGGGACTTATGATATACTTTAAAATGTGTTCATTGTTTTGGAAGTGATGCTTTCTGCTATTGATTAGAGAGATGTTATTAATATTTAAATTATATTAGATGGTTTATAAGAATTGAACACATAAGTTTTTTGCCTTGACTACATTTGGTGGTGTCTGGGCACTCCCCAGATCAGCTCCGGTTGTTGGAAAGGCTGCACTTCATCTAGCTTTCTCTTTTTTTTTTTTGTAGGAATAACGTCAATGTCTTCATCGCAGCCGATGGGTAACCTTGCTGGATCCCCTGTCATTTCCTCTCCGAACACTTTGGGAACACAAGTCCCAGCTGCCACAGGAGTGCAGCCCTGAACTCTGACCTCCGACCTCTGGTTAACCTGACAAATAGGCCCTCCACCTCATCCCCTTTTTTCATGTTATCTGAGTGCCAGCCAGCAGCCTCCAGTCCTGTGCTATGAGCTGTAGAGGTGCTTGGCACTCTGGAGTTTATTTTTATTATGTTGAGTATAACAAAGAAAAATTAGGTTCCTTTTTTCCGTACAATAATTATATATTGAGATTCAGACGCAACAAAAATTTTATGTTGTGTCTGTGTCTGGATGAAATGTAGCTGCGTTCTTTCATGATCACAGTGTCTAGAAATGCAACTACAATGTAGAAATTAAAAAGAAAAATGGATAATAAAATTTATTTTATATGTCCCAAAAGTACATCCTTGTTTGATGCCATTTACTGCTCCTAACTGTGGGATTGGATCTTTTGTGCATTGCCTTTTAGCGTTTTACGTCAAACCATTTATCCCCTTATTTTTCAAGTTCAAAATTGTAATATGGGAGCATATTAACAGAATTTTTTTGTACATCCCCAGTATTTGATGTAGACTGGTTAAATAGGTTTGATTTGTTACATAAATCTATTCATATATTCGTAGTATCAAATATGATTTTAAAGTGGTTTTCCTGTTGGGAGTCTCTGTCCATTCTGAAACATGCTCGAGTACAAAAAGACACTTTGAGGCTTGGAAAATGTGACGAGTAAAGATGTTGATACTCCAGTATGCACTTTATTGTGGTCACAGTTAAGTTAAACAGTGCTTAGGATGGAAAAAAATGTTCTTTTTCTTTCCAACATATTTATAGACTGAAACACCACTTTATAAAGAAATCTTTTCCATGGAGACCTTTTGTGTTGCAGAAAGACTAAAATTGTTCCATAAGTGTGAAGGTACAGCATGAACACAACTTACTCTAATGTGCTTCTTCTTAAAGGAAACATTTAACATCCTTGGGTAACCGATTATGTAGGCTTTTAGCTTCTTGTCTTTATGGATATTTGCACTATACGGTCCCATTGATATCACATTTCTTAATGACATGTTAGCATCTGAGAGTAACCAGAGATGCAACACTACTGCTCCAAGAATCCCCTTAAATACATATCTTGTAAAAACTTAAATACAACAGGAAGGGTGAAATATAATAAATCAGCTGCCTGATAAGTTGTTTGTTTATCATACTGTACTAGATACTAGACTACTACTAGCAGGGAGTAGCTCATTACCTTAATTTGGCGCTGTAAATCTTTAGAAGGCCTGAGACTTGAGGCATCTAAAATTGCAGCCTTCAAAACAAGACAAACATTGCTCCTCCACTCTCAACGCCTTGTCGGACTACGTTACTAAAAGCTCCTTAATTATTCAATTGGCTACCTTTGTTCTGCTTAAAAATTAAGGAGTTAATTATACGGGATGGGCAATGTAATGAACTACACCATTAGTTTTGACCTCTTTAGAAAAGTGATCTGGTTCTTTCAAAACCTGCTTGCATTTGGAGGTCTGTGCTTTAGTGCACCTACAAAGCTGGCATTAGAGTTACTGACCCTATCTTATATATTTATTGATGAAAAAGGACCTCTGTGACATCTTGTGTTTTTTGGAAGTCAAACAGCGGTCAAACCAGTTGTTTCAGAGCTGGTATAGTTGAGCTGTGACACTAGGAAGGTTATTGACTTGATTAGCGATCATAAATATTTGGACAATAAATAAAAATGGACCTTTTTTATAAGACGGTGTAGTAGGTGTGAACCTCCAGCCACACTATCTTTTTTTCACCTCAATCGTGAGAAGCTGTATTAATTCTTAGAACACTGCTGCCAAAAAGTTCCATAAAGAACCCACACCGTTCAGAATCTAATAAATCAGTGTGAAATATGGACAATGCAACCAAGTTATAAAATTAAGCTAGGGGTAGATCTTTGTCTGAGTAAACCATCTGTTAGTTTGTTGACTACCAAAATCCGTAAGGTTTGGTAGTAATGTAATTTTTATACGATTAACTTCAGACATGGGGGAAAACATTGCCCGATATAAAGCTATGGAACTATCCCTTTTACTGAATCTCCTATTTTAACACCAAATACCCAGGAAGGAGTTTCTTTTGCGTTTTCAAAGTATCACAAGGTTACATATTTTCCCTTGGGCTGTTGTAATGGAACTGTAGTGCAGCTTTATTATAACAGAGAAAAGACTGGACTTCATTTGAAAAGAGTTCTTGCTGGTATATCTTGCATGTATGGCTTTGAATGTAGTGGTGCAATACTATGATAAAGCTGAATCCCAATAAAACAACATTTTGGTACAGCAATTTGAAGGAAATTTTAGATTAGATTATTTCCATCAAATATTATGTTGCTCATTAAGCAGTCTGTCTGCATTCTCCCGGTATTTTATCATAATTTTTTTATTAGTGATTATTGAATATCAGCAGGATCAGCTTGTAGAAACCTTTTATTGGTTTAGCTCCAGCTATTCTTTGCCATGAATCTGTATCTGTGCTTTCTTCAGTTCTGTTTGCTTCCAGGGGATTTCCACAATGTGACGACAATACTGTTCCATATGATACTGCCCGAGCTAACAATAAGCTCTGTGAGTTCATTCATATCCTTAACACTGAAATGGAGTAATGGCACACCAAGTATGCTTTCAAGATATCAAAGTAATCTTATGTTTTGTGAAATATTCATTCTGTCAGTTCTAAAGGTTTGTAATCAATACTTGGTTGGCTCTGGGAAAGTAGTGTGTAGCCATTTGCACTTACTTTGAGTGAGCTTTTTTTTTTGTTAAAAAACAGCTTGATTCGGTTAGCAAAATGCTGTGATTTCCATGAGAATTTGTCCTTTCATTCAGTCACATAATGTCCTGTTTGGCCTAACGCTGTGCCCCATTTCACTGTGCGGAACTTGTTTCCTTCCTGCACAGAAAGGCTTTTTCTGAACGTTCCACACGGGATCTTGGACCTTTTCAGCCTCCATCAGCGAAATTTCAGCTTGACGCAACCTGGGACCACACTGAAGTCTTTCCTTATGTCGTTTTAGTTACTTTGTTTGCACATCCAGGGTGTTTCATGAATAGTTTTAATATTGGTGTTAGGCCAAAGCTGCTGATATTAAAAGCTTAAACAACCTGTCCACAGGAAGATGGCCAGCTTAGTGTAGTTTGGTTTTGTTTTTTTTAAGCGGGGTTCTTGTTCACTGAATAGTGGAACGGAAGGCTTCTGAAATGAGCGGGCTCGTTTGTTTGAAACAAGGTCTTGATTTTCTGTGGTTAATGACAGGCAGGAGTTCTTGGCTCTGAAGCACTGAATGGAAAAGTAATTTCAAAGGGGAAATTTGGCAATCTTTGTCCTTCACTGTTGACTGTTATTCACTAAACAGGAAGTTTGGAGGATCCGTCTTTGACGGGAAGATTCCAGGGAAACAGGAGGTGTTTAGAGGTCAGAGCATGTCCCACAGGGCTAGCCACATCAAAACAGGAAACATCACCTGCTACCAGGGTGAGGATATGTCACCTGCAGCACAGGAGAGGGGAAACCACAGGCCTTGCTGCTACCAGCAGGGCTACAGCTTATACCATCATCATGTCCTATAGAAAGTGGATAAAGCATTTCTTTAAACAACTCGCCATGACCACAAATGTCAAATGGGTCAAATTTAATGCACATAACGTGTGATGGGTTGCATGGTGCTAGGACATTTTGCACTTTAGGCACACAGCACAAAGTGGGTCCTTACTTTGGTTACTGTGGTACCTTGTGTGTGGAGTTTGCATGTTCTCCATAATCTTTGGTTTACTTCCCCAGCCTTTTGAAGGTGGGAAAAAGTTTGTGTCTCTTGGCCTGTGTCTTTGTGTGTGAATACCCAAAGATACACAGGCGTCCTGTCCAGGGAGTAATTTAACTTTGTGCCCTGTGCTTCCATTCTAGGAATAGCCCTGTCCATTACAATTGGACATCACCTTCGAAATGGATTGTGGCCTATCACTGATGAACTGTTTGACTGTAACATGTTGCCATATTAGAAATTTCTGGCTGTGAACACCCAAGACGGTGCACAGATTTAGTCCGGCCGTTTGTATGGGATGAGGTCCAAACTGATGTTTGGAGTTGGCACCCTTCCTCTGCTGACTAGTCATCTATTTCTCTGTTGTAATGAACAGAGCCATTTGTCTGGAAGTGCAATGAGAAAATGTAATATTCTAAGATGCTTAACCATGTAGCTTTTATAGAATCTAGAATTGTTTATTCCTCTTATGTCAGTATTCTCGGGAGGAGGACAATGACATTGATTCTTTCACATACTGTGATATTCTATTTCTCTTCATGGTTGATACGTGACTGCAGAATTCATTTCAACTCAATAGTGCTCTGTTCTTTTGTTGCTGAAAGTAAACAGTGACCTGGGATTGTAAACTTAACGTGAAATTATTTCAAGGGACACATTTGCTGATCTCTGAACGGTATTATTAGCTTTTTCCTCTTCCATTTCCTGCTACAATTTCTGATACCTTCAGGCCTACTTTTGCATGTTACGCAGGAATTAAGTGGATCATCACGGAGCACTAGTTTGGATAATATTCTTGGCAGAAAGAAAAGGGTTGATGTTTGTTTAATTAGAACCTAAGTATTCCTGGAAAGTTTCTATTAACAGTCTTTGATGTTGGCAATATTAAGCATTTGTTCTCTCTTTAGGTTTTAGCCTCAGGACTTCAGCATTAGTCTTTACTTTAAGCAATTGTAGACGTCTGTGTGGGGTATAATTCTGGGGGCCGAGACTGGCTTCGGTTTCTACATCTCTCATTCCACTTGCAGCGTTTCGCTGACGAAAATTGGCACGGCCTCTCACAGTCACTTAGGCACCATTATTAGGGAAAGGCTCAGCAAATCATGTTCGCTGAAAATGGAGACTGGGTGATTGACCATATCAGGGCGCATGAAGTTCATGTATGCTTAATTTAAAGTCTTCTTTAAGAAAAGGTCACCACACTAGGGTTACTCATATGGCTTTTTTTTTTCTTGGGAACGTTGGCAAGCACACAAAGAAAGTATTTACAGATGGGGGGGTACAGGATTCTGTAAATGCAGGTCTTAAATTTTAAAGCGTGGGGATTTCCCAGCTATGGTTTGTTACAAAGGGGATACAGTTGCAAGGAAAGTCCTTTAGTTGCTTAACTTGATATCTAGACCTTTATTTTGTGACAAAAATAGATAAGCCAGCCCTGCCTCCCCACCCCCGGCCCTCAGAATGTCTTCCAGAGGGGTCCAGCCTGGGTTGTCTGAGGAGGTTTCTTGAACGCACAGCACAGAAATCCTATTCCCTTTGAAACAGGCGTGCGATGAATGGAGCACAGATTTATGAGGTACAAGGTTTTCTTTTTCCCCCCCTTTCCCTTTCCCCCTTTGTACCAGTGCCTCGCACAGGTGCGGTGGAAAGCCTGGAACAGGACCCCTCTCGGGGGCGCGGAGAGGCCAGCGCCCAGACAAGGGCCTACGCACCTGGGCTTTCATGAACACAATCCACCTACTGTCATCTTCCAAAGAGTTTTCATGCTTGAGACCTTTATCAAGAGGGTTTAATTGTGCTGACGGCTTAATACCCCCTAGTATATGTGGGAAAACATTTTTCACATTTATTTTATCCCAACACCAGTAGACGGACATCTCGGTGCTGAAGGTGAGGGGGCTCGCTTGTCAGAGCCTTTGTTAAAGCTGTGGGCGTCCATGTCTACAGAACAGTTCGCACCATGGGGAGTGCTGGGCCTCCTCTGACTGACAGCTTTACAAGCCAACAGGAAGTCACATTGGGTCATCTTGGCCAGGGATGTCCTCTCGGGCGGAAATCTAGGCTGGGCAGCTGGCCCCAGACCAACCAGGTAGGCCTTCAGCCAGGGCCAGTGCTTCACCTTACCACTACATGAGAAAAACAAGCTGAATCGGAACTGTGAGCTGATTGGAAAATGTGACTTAATTTTAACTAGACACTACTGAGATATACAGTGCCTATAGAAAGTCTACACACTTCCCAAATGAACATAGTTTGTGGCCTTATAGCCTGAAATCAGTGCATTAAATTGGAATTAATTTTACCTTTACATTAACACTATATAACCCGTTTTTGTGGTTATTTGTAACTTCTTAGCAGAATGTTTGAGCATTTGTTTGTTTTTTTTTCCCTAGGAGGGTTTAACAATTTTCTCGAGGCACTGTACATATGAAAGCAGCATCTTAAAATAAGAGCAATGAAATACAATATGTTGTGCAAGTACAATACCTGTATAGCCAAATTAGCTAATTATAGTCACATACTTGTTGGCCATGTTGAAATTTATGTGGCTGTGTTCATTCATGCATCTTCCTAATTTGGCACCTGCAAGGAGTTAGTAATGAAGGTGGGCTGTTCTGAGGAGCTGATCAGTGGAATCGTTGGGTGACAGATGGAAAAATGAACCGCCAGTGTTATTCATAGTTTATCTTTTAGTTTAAAGGTAACATGCAAGGTCTGTCCTGTCTTAGTGTTGGGTTGATTTGGGTTCAGTTGGCAAACCCTACTCAGCCTGGGCAGCTACTTGTTCCATTGTGGATCATAACTAACCTTTGCTAAATGACCTAGCTAATGCTTGAATTGATGACACCTGGGGATACAGCGCTAAACTGAACCTCCACCACTAAAAAGACTTTCTAAAAGAGAGTAACCTGGCTGTATTTGCTATGAAAGCCATCACATCTAGTATAGTTCATCATGAGCCATTGTTTCGACATCTTTCTTTGGAGACAGATCAGAAACGTGCGCTCTCAAAACCCAGAGATGTATTTCAGAGGTGTCAATTTAATGGGTCACAAGTACAGTATATAGTGTTGTTAACTGTACAGTATCAAAAAGAAAACTTCATTCCAAAGGTTATACATTAGGGCAGCACGGGGGTTGGCATTTCTCACAGTACTGGGACTGCGGGTTCAATGACGGAACTAGGGTGCTATCTGTGTGGAGTTTGCATGTTCTCTCTAGGTTTGTGTGGGTTTCTTCCAGTTAAATACTGGCGAGTTAATTGGTTTCAGGGACAATTAGCCTTGAAGATGTGACTGTGTGCATGTCTGTGTTGGACTGGTATCCCATCCAGGGTGTATCCTGCTTTGCTCCTGTTACTTGCTGGGATAGACTCCAGCTCCTCCAGCATTAAAAGAGAGCAAGTGAAATTTTCAGAATTGCCCCATGTTCAACCTTGGGTCAGTTCCAGGCAGATTTTTTGAAATCCCTAATACAAATGCAGTATTGTAACCATTACCTCAAACTAGAAAGAAGCATTTCACTATTTTAGTTATCTAGTACAGTTTTAATTTCCCCATAGTTCTACTTTCTTAAGTGAACTTTCCTTGGGAGTATTCTTAGTAGGGGTGACGGCCCCCCTTGTAACATACCCCCAATTTAAGCTACCAACCCCTGTGTAGAACTGAAAATAACAGGGTGGAAAAAAATAAATTTTCATGTCTCAGCATTCATGTTAGGAAGGCACTCCTAGATTTGCTTTGACATTCAACTTGTAACCTGTGCTAGTCACAAGGATGGTCACATTGCCTTAATGTGCGACCGGTCGCTTAGTTTCTGTGGCAACAAACAAAGAGAGAGAACATCAGATGATTACGGTTAAACGACATGAGAAGCCAAGAATTTCATCAAGCATTGCAGGAGGACGAGCTGGTGTACTCTCCATGTGAAAGGGCACAAAAACAAGATCATACATTGCTTCGACTCATTTATGCTTTCGGTTTATAGTTAAAGTAGTCTTCTTTGGCATAAAATAAAGGCAGGAGTTATCCAATCTTCAGGCAGTGCACATTCTTCTTACTGAATGTACCCTAGATGTTTGCACTAGGTTAAAAAAAGAATAAAACAATTTCCATAAAGGCAGCAAGAGCTCAAATAGCAAGAGAATGCCTGATGCACCCCTTTTTTTTTCTTTTGCACGATCTCTCTGCATAAAATGATGATTGAAAAGCCGAAATGACTGCTAGTGTGAAGATCATGACAACTATACAATAGTGTACTTAATCAGCCACTCTTAAATCAAAACCTGACAATGGATACCTGGACATTATGCTGTTTGACTACATTACTGATCAAAGTGGGGAAATGACTATGGGCTAAACTAAGTTCAAATCATACAAAGATTAGTAATCAGGGTTTCAAATAAATGCTTCTGTAGCTGACTTTAGTTCTATGAAATGTGTTAATAAGAGTATATTATATAGGCCGCTAGTGTAATCAATGCGATTAAAATACAGCCTAGCTCTATATAAGCTTAAACCTGCACCATGCTAGATGCTTTCTCTTAAATATAGAAATATCAGTCAAGATCTCAAATCTCTGCATGTCATAGAAACAATCATACAAAGAATAGCATTCGGGTTGCAAACAGCATTTAGTTCTCTCATATTTACAAGATCTCCACTGGGTGGCAGCATGTATTCAGAATTCAATTAATTCATCATAAACGGTAGGTATGGTTTATACAGTTAATACATGACAAAGGTGACAGAATATTCCAACTGACAAGAGCAGAGAATTGAAAACTGCCTTAACAGGTTTTTTTTTTTTAAAAGGCTGCTTTTTATTATTTAGTCTCCAACATTTTCAGTAAAAGGATGTAAACCACTCGTCCAATCGTCCACGTTTTAATGTTTCTTTTTTGTTACCATGAACAGCCTGAGTTGGGTGACTTCCAAGGCAAAACCAGGCGATTGTACCTCAAAGATAGGTTTCCCTAAATACCTGGCTGATCATGATTTTCTGCGTGGACACAGACAATCAGGGGTTTTACATGACTTCGGAGCAGTTGGTTTCTTTAGTCACTGAGGTGCCATGTTAGTGACTCAGAGCTGGAAATGTCATCTCCCCCCTCATTCCTCACCTTCCCTACAACTCACCCCAACAGCTGTAAGCTAGTTTTCTTCTTTTTCTCCATGACACATGCCCCAATCTGGGTTATCTGATTTTGGTGAGGTATTCAAATTTCTTAGCATTTTGTGTTTTGTATGAAACAATGTAAAAAATAATTTCTTTTAAAAATACACAGTCCCCAAGTATCCCAGGCCTACATCTACCCCCCATCACCTCCCCTCACCCCGTCCTTCAGGAGTGTGGGGAAAAACTCATCCGAGTGGTGCTACAGTTGAATGGGACTTGCGCTAGGAAAACATACAAAATAACGTAAAAACAGACACGGTTAAGCATCACGATGGTAAATTAAGACAGAGGTCAAAGAGTACGTGTTCTCCGAAGCTGTGGCAAGTAAAAACACAGACAAGAAAATGCTCTATGGGTTCCTTTGTGTCCATACTACCTTGGCTTTACAATGATCAGCTTAAAAAGGCGCTACTGCAGCAAATCTGTGGCATTGATTGTTTTATTCAAATGTGCAACGTTGAAGCCACCAAACAGGGCAGCTGCTGTGCTTGTGGACAGTGCTGTTAAAATCAGAGGTTCAGTGCATGGTTGGGGCACCCAGGTGCCCCCGATGTACTTAGGAAACACAATGTGAAGTTAGCTGAGAGATTAACCAGCACTTGGGATCAATTTGAACAAACGAAGACTGGATGCAAGAGGGTCGTCTCTAACAGCCCTGAGCTTGAGATCAGTCACGGGGGAAAAAAAAAAAAAAGAGTGGCGACTCCTACACATCTCCATTAGGTTACAGGGTAGTGTCCAGGTGCATTGGTTGTGACCAGTCCGTTTTCCGTAAGCCATTCGGATCCGTCAGAGGGCTAGCCAGAGTCACATGATGCAGCACTTGTTCTTGTGGTTGTGCGGGTCCTTGAAGCGGAGTCTTTGTTTGGGTCGATACTTCTCCAGGTAGGTCAGCTGCTTGCTGTTGATGGCCCCCCTGCGTTTCCTGCAATGCAGATCCTGAATCAGAGCAGGGAAACGTTCCTAAAACCGGTCAGTGGGAATGCTCAATGGCCGCTCCTTCCCCTATTGCACAAAATAAACCCATTCTGCCTGTCACTGTGCTTTGCCCTACTGTTTCTAGAGCAAGATACAGCAAGGGCACTGCTGATCTGCTTCTTCAGTCTCTCTGGTTTGTGACGACTCAGCAGTCACACGTAGTCGGAATAAGGTGGTGGTTGGAATACTCACTGTCTGATAAACTGAATGGCATCCTCGTACTTCATCCCACTCTCAATTAGCGCCAGTGCCACCAGGACAGGAGCTCTGCAACGCAAATACAGAAATTATACATTCCCCGCTGCCGCTGCCTGTGAAAAACTGGTCATTTTCACAAAGCACTTTAGAATCTCCTGAACTCTAATTTCTCTGCTTGAGGTGGAAGAATGAAGAAAGGTCTTCCTGTGTTTCATATCTACAAAAGAGATCAAACCTTTCCACATGAAATGAAATGTTTATGCCCCATGTCGGCACCAGTAGAACAGCACCACCTAGTGTACAGAAAAGAGAGTAGGCAAAACAATTCTAGAAATAGTTTTTTTTTTCTACATCTTACCCCACCTATTCATTTATACCAGTTAACCTTCCCAGCCTGTCTTTGGAAGGTGGGAGGTACGCACATGGAGAATGCCCATGAGGAACATGCAAGCTCCCCCCAAGAGGTGGGACGCCTAGCCTGCCACCTTTTTTAAAGATTATATTAAAAGAATTTATACATCCAAGAACATAGAAGATGCAGGCAAAATCATATTGCTCAAAACCAAAGAAAATCACTAGAATTTCTGAAATGAGTGACGTTTGTTAAAAGAGGACACAAAGAAAACCAACAACCATCTACCCTCATATCTTACACATTTCCACAACACTGCAGTCCCAGGCTGGTGGTGTTTTTAAGTGGTGCCACATTGTTCTCATAATTTATTCTAAGAATCAGTGCCTCACTGGCTTTGTAAGGAAATATTAATAGGTGGAAACATACTTCTATAATTGGCCCTAGTTAATTTGTGCCTGTCTGCGTTTGTGTCCGTGTGCCCTACAATGGACTGGCGTCCTGTCCAGGGTGTACCCTGCCTTAAAGCCTGCTGCTTACTGGGATAAGCTCTGGCTCCCCTGTGACCCTGAACTGGAAAAAGTGTTTAGAAAATGGATGGACAGAAACATACTTGTGCATTTGTAAACAATCTTTCAAGCATGATGTGAATGAACAATCGAATACAACGACAGAGATGAAGGAACATGCTTATATGCATAACAGATCATTTGTTACCCTCTTGAGTTTCCAATGTTAGAAACAAAAAGTGTATGAATTAGTGAAGCGGTCGTGAAAATGAGTCACAAAGGATCTCGACTCTTGAGGTTCAAGACTGCCTCATTATGACATTGTGTTGTTCCTGAGTGGGTCACCATGGTAACAGCAAGGGCAGAAGAGGCTCTTTATAGCTAAGGAGTCAAATTCAGAAAGGACTCGTTCTTTAAGGTCAAGGGCTGATTTCCAGAACACTGACTCTTTGTGCATCAGCCCTTACCTACAGACTTTCCGACAACTGGAAGCTGCTTTTGTCTTGTTGTACTTGGTGAAAACATCAACAAAAAGCCGACCAGCCTGAGCAGTTTCAGCCAGACCAGAGCCTAAATTAAAACCTCGCAGTTATTTTTCCTCAACCCAAAAAGAAGCTAGGAAAAAAAAAATGTTTTGTTGCAAGCTTGGCGTTTCTGTCATTTTTGGTTTGGGTTTCTCTCCCGAGAGTAATTAAACTCCATAAATGTAACTCTGTGGGGGGATAAAAAGGTTTCAAGGTGTCAAAATGTAGCCTAATTAGCATCAGATATGCCTTTTTGAGCACGTTAGCTCAGCGTTTGACGGGGGCGGGCGGGCGTTCTTCTCTCAAAACTGCAAATGAACATTTCCCATCCCGAATAATACACAAATAAATAAATAACATAAGAAAATAGAAAAAAAAAAACGGGCATGTTCCCAAAATCTGTAGACAAGTCCCAAACGAATAAATACATGCGTCAGAGATGGTGCTTCACCAGCTAGAGCAAACATGCCGAACTCAAACGGCCAACTGTAAGAGAAAGTACTCTCTGGCCAGATTAGAACCAGAGGGAAGATTTAAAGAGGATTTCAGGGGGGAAAAAATCCTATGGTTATTCTTTAAGAGAACTAAAATGGAAGCAGCAGAAAAAAAAATTAATAATGAGTCCTCGCCGTGAGGACAGTTACAGTTCTTTGAAAATATACATCTTCTCTCCATTTCATCCCATGGGCTGTAATAAAATCAAATGAAGCAGAACCATGCTGTTCTCTCTATTGAACTCACCCTTTCAACAGCCCTGTGGAGTTACTGTTCAACGTATCTTTAAAATACACTGGTTTAAAAACGGGTTGGACAACGGCAAAAATTTCAACGACCAAAAAGAGAGAGCGAAGATAATGTCGCCGGAGAGTTAGCCATGTTGGTCTTGTAGAATAAAGCCATGAGGCCTTTCACACTCACCGTCCAAGCCCTGCCACACAGTGGACTGCTACACAGCAGCCAGGATCCTCACAGAACTTAGTCTTCAGGAGGTTCAGCCAGTCTTCCACTATCTTGGTGGGAGGAGGGGCCCCATCATCGAAAGGCCAGTCCTGTCAAGACGGAACGTAAATCACTCTCTCTTCCACCATGTCAACACTGGTCTCTCCACACAAGTGCGTAGCATTGGAGTAACAACAGCAAGTATGCTGGTCAAGGTTAAGGTCAGACAGACAACCAAGGTCTTCCACTGCAGCTTCTGATGCTGTTTGCTAGAAACCAATATTGTGTTGCTCCTGACAACACGTTTTTTTCCCCTCAGTCAGCTAGCATCAAGAACAGCTCCCAATAACTTTCTGATCATATGCTGCTATTTATTAGATGTTGTCATTACAAAAGGGGTTCTTTCTAAAGACCCGAGTACAAGTACACCCTTAATTCATGATTTTTCAGTAGCTTCTTCCACATTCCAATATCCTAAATGTTTTGTCACATATTTTAAGTGCAATCTACAATAATAACACTATGTAGCACATTACAAGTGAGGGGGGAGTGTTTAGCATTTTCCTCAGCCTTAAAGTTTTCATTATCAAATAATATAATACTGACTGACAAAGCATCGGCTAGCTTCTCTCGGCTTATAATTCAACGCACCAAATCTTGCCATTAAAATGAAAGCAAGGGATGAAAATTCCTTTGAGGCCTTGGTTGCCAGCTGAGCAGTGAAGCCGAGATAAACAAAAGCACCTTTGTTTCTTAATTGTTTTCGTCCATAGGTCTGCTGTTTTCTAACTTTCCCCACAACCGTTTAAAACAAGCAGGCATTTAGGCTCCCAGTCCTGCTCTCCTGACACACTTCCAGTATCCATCTCCACGTGAGTACAGGACCCAGTAAATTGCTCATTCACCCTGGGAACATGAGGCTTATGTTTCTTTAACAGAAGTGGGAGAATAATACAAAGGCAACACAAACCGAAATCAACACTAAAAAAAAAAAACTCAAAAGTTTTCCAAAGGCCATGGCACAGGCCATACAGACCTATTTGAGAGAATGAACACAGCTCGTAACTGAAGGGTATCTGCCTGTCAAAAATAGCCTTTTAATCTGTTAAGGGGTTAACTGCCAGCATTTAGCATGTGCACAGTATTAATTCCATGAAGTGGTTCCAATATGCACGCTGCAGTGGAGTACACTGGAAACGCCAGAAGTCAGATCTAATTGTGGCTAATGTCTGCTGGTTTCCCAGAATTACACCCAGTATTCTTCTGCAATTTGATACGAAGGATTTGAGAATTTCCGAACACCTGTTCCATGTCAATATACTTGTATGATTCTCTCGAGCTGTTTGTATACACAAGTCGTAAGAGGCAGGGCGCAGACGAGAGGCTGACTCATTGTGCTGGCGTGCTTGCTGGTAGCTTATTGACCTTAAGATGTTGTTCAAGTCAGGCTCCCAGCACCTCCAAACGTTTCAAAAGCATGACTTGGCAGCTCGTTCCAGACTCCCACCACCCTTTGTGTAAAATGACCATTCAGTTCCAGGTGCCATATACTGTTGCTTCTAACTTCCTCTTCTCTGTTGTGCTTTCATGGTCTTTTTTTGTTGCTATAAATATGTGGGGCTTTTTGCCGAGTATAAATGAATTCACTGGGTTTTGATTACTTCTATTAAATTCTCTAGTAATCTCCTCTGTTCAAAACTTAATAGCTTCACTTCCCTTAAACCATCTATACATAACCTGGAATTACTTTGGTTGCTTGCACATCTTTTAATTCTTTCTAGGGCAACAATGTCCTTCTTCTACTACAACAGCCAGAACTGTACACAATATACCGAGCGAGTTGAAACTAATGAACCGAATAACCTTATCACTGTTTCCCTTGACTTAACCTCTTAATTCTTCAATTTTAACCATAAACCCAGACGTTTTGTTGTCTTTTTTTCCATTTTCAAGTCTGTCTGAATGAGGACAATGATGAGTCAAACTCCTAGCTCCAAAACAACATTCGTAGGGTACTTTCTTTAGCACCGAACCTGCTAGCTGATATTTATAGAGTCTAATTTATTAGCTGCATGTGTTACTTTGCACTTATCTCCATTCAACACTTTGCCAGGTGTTTGCCAAGTCATGGATACTGTCTATGATTTTTTCCAATTGTTTGCCTTTCCTCCTGTTTCATAACTGCAAAATTCACACTTTCAATAGCTATGCAGAATCAAGTTAATTGATATAAATTGGGAAGAACAGTGTTTCTAATACAATCTCTCTGGCACCTACTAATTTGAACACTACACACAGTTATACTCTCTTTTCTTAGGAATTAACCAATTTTGGGTCCATTTCTGTATAGTATCTTTCTTATATCTTACATCTGTTGAATCAATCTTTAACATGGAACTTCATGAAAAACCTTACGGAAATCTGAATATTCCACTTCAAAATCTGTCAGCATCCAAAACTGCTGTTTCTTTCTCAAAACAGTCTGGTAAGTTAAACAGAAACCCATGCTTTCTATCCCTAACGAAAGAATTCCCACATAACACTTTATTCACTCTTATTCTTCCAGAATCCATTCACTAAACAAACACAACTGCACCACATTATTACATGAATAAAAAGTACTAAACAAAACTGAAACAGTACAACAATAAAACCCCTTTTTGTTTAACAGTCTATATATTAAACAAACTGGAGTACTGCATAAAATTAATAGTTCATCATTAAGTACAATACTGTTATGTGTTGCACCACAAATATGCTCTTAAAACAGCATAATACCTTAATGCGTGACAGCATTTAAGCTCTTAGCAAAATAACAGGCATATGTTTATTTGTTGATCATATTTTGTAGTGCATATAATCTGCTAACAGATCTTGGTCTATGAATGGTAACAAAACTAAAAAGCTGCACCATGTATTTCAATCAGAAAATGGACATCTATTTTTTATACAAGTTAAATACAGACGTATTTGTTTTAATTGTTAGGAGAAATGTCTTTAAACTCTGTAGTGAACTGATACACTACGGAAAACCAATATTGGGCTATCAGCAATTACATGCAAAGCTTCACAATACTGATTTCAATGAGCTGTTTTTCGGTCTCAATTTATAGAATTTTTAGAGAACAGACATCTAGTTTTTGAGTTTTATAATCATGCACGCTTTACAGATAACCATAGTAAAATGATCCAAAAATTCCGATTAATAAAGTGATTTAAGATATACACAGAATATACACCCCAGGATTTGCTCAGAAACTGCTGAATTGTTCAAAAGAATGAGACCTAGAATTACTAGTGACTACAAAAATGTAAACTTCCTACATTATTTAGGAAAGAAAGCAATAAAGACATCCCTGTTACACGCTTTAAGATATATAGTTGTCATCTGTAGTCACAAAACTAATCTGCGTGTTTTTAAGAGCTGAGAAGAAACTGGAACTTATGTAAAAAAAAATATTTTCAGGTGATGTCATTTGCCTGCAGGGGAGTCACTGGGGACCCAGATGAACCCATTCTTGTTTCGATACTGGGCTCAAGATTTCACATTGAGGCCTAAATGTGGAGTCCTTTTACATCTCCTAAGAAGCAATCACTTCTAGAGCCTTTCCCTCTACCCCTGGGGGCAACATCAGGCAAGGGGTAAATTACAGAATAAACATGTCACTGATTTCTTTTCAAGCAGCTTCTCCCTCTGTCACGGGAGTGGCGTTTCAGAAGTCCAGAAAGCGGAGACCACAGTTTAAGAAACAGCCTGCAGTAACAACATGATCACGGAGAGACCCTCTAGTTCCCACGGCAACGGGGCAATGTTGACTGGAGAAATTGAAAACACATGTGCAGTGTGGAAAACTGCACTGCTCAGATGAACAAGTAAAGGTTTATTCCCATGCTGAAAAGAGAAGAAAGGAAACGCAACATTTCGGCTGTGGAGCCTTCTTCCGAGCTTCCGAGCCTTCTTCCTTCTTTGGAAGCAGGCTCCACAGCCAAAACGTTGCGTTTCCTTTCTTCTCTTTTCAGCATGGGAATAAACCTTTACTTGTTCCTTTGCAGCCTACGCATGCTGACGCAGCTACTTCCTTGCACTGCTCAGATGTTTGGTGGAAAACAGGGAAGAACAATAACCTTTAGCAAAAACGACACTGGGCCACAAATCATGGCAATGTGACATAAAGAGAAAAGCCTATCAGAGCCAGTTAGAATGCAAGCTTAACACTGAAATCATTTTCTTCTGCCTTCATGGCAGGTTTTACAGCATACGTTCAATAAATAAGGCTCTTTTATTTGACCTTACCATGCCAAAATGCATAAAGGTAAATCTTTAGCAGCCTGTTCAACAACTTACAAAATGCTAATAAAAAACATTGGTGGTAAAAAGAGAAAACACAGAGGAGGGCCAAAGCACCTGGGACCATTAAAAGAATAAACATGCTGAGGCATGCTCTTAACCAGATTTTTATAGTAGAATGAGGGGAAAATACACCTTGCTTCTCCTACAACATCTGCATTAGTTCACTGAATAACAACTAAAGGAAATGACGATCCTTCTATCGGTATAATCTTGTTACATTATTGGTAAATACACCACTCCCAATTGACACGTTTGTACAGATTAAATGATTTCTGCAGTTGTTGTTAGTATTAAAGCAAACGCTATTATTGCACATGTGGGCTGTATGGTATACTGTACAGGACTTTGGCAAATAACGTACTGCATCATGAAAAACCCAAAATCTAGGCAAGATGCCTTTTTGTGGCAAAAACCATGTGTCTTTCAAACAGCTAAAATATTGTGCTTACAATTAAAAATCAAGCCAACAGAAATATTGCATTGTACTCACCATCACAGTAATTCCATCCTTTTCTAATGGGGCTTTATCATAGGTGACTTCACAGACTCTAACAACTGTGGTTGCACCATACTTCTTCAGATCCTAGACAAAAGCATTTGCGATTAATACATTTATATTTTACAGCAATAAAATCACTCTGGAAGTAAATTAAACTTTTTCGACCATCAAGTAAGAAAAAACTTAATAGCAGCTTGAACTTGACAGGCAAATCTGTAATTCATAATGAAACAGACTCTGAAATAATTTAATGTGCTTGTCTCGCCAAAGGTATGCATCAAGTACAGAGCTTTGACATTACAAGTCATGCCAATTTCACCACTAAACAAGACAGATAGGTTATTAGTGGTCATTCATTTTTAGGGAAAACAGTACTGACTCTACAGCATGGAACAGTTACTCTACTTCTGTGAAGGAAATCGAAGGTATCCTTTTTGATGTCTGTAACAATTTTTGTCACTGTTAAAGGATAACAGTGCAAAGCTTCTTCTTGATGATGAATGAAGCAGAAAATACAGCAAAAAATGTAATAAAAATATATTTCAGTGCTGTTGTTGATGGAGCTATTAATGTCTCTGCCAAATATATCTAGTATCACATGAGAAAGGAAAAGCTGAAGGCAGTACTCAGTTTTTGCATATATTTATTTTTGTCTCATCTGCCAATAGAACCTTGTTCAAAAACTCTCCTGGTTCATCTTTGTTGCTTTCAAACACATCCTGGAGCACGGCCGAGTTAATGTCAAGGTCTGAGCATGCAGATGGAACGTATGTAAAACGAAAATACATTGTTGATGACATCTGTTGACATTTTCTGCTTCGAATACTATAGCAGAACTTTTAGAAGCACTTGGTTCAAGCTCTGCTTTTCAAACAAACAAAATTGCGAATGGGAGGGGGTTTTCCCCACCTTCCACTAGTTAAACCTCAAAAGAAATTGTATTGATCTGACAGCTAAATCAAATTTAACAACTCATTACGTTACTTTTAAAGGGGAACTGCAACACTATTTTTTATACTTTAGGGTCAGGAGGAATCAGCATTGATGTGTGCATTTTAAACCACAATGAAAGTAAAATGTATACAGTAACAAAATAGATAAAATTTCCAGGTACACGCAGAGCCATGTTCTGCGATTCAGAAAGAGGCAACAAAACTTCCAGTGACGTGAAGAGGCCTTATTACATTGTAAACAAGTACATCCGTTTTAATCCAATAGAAGTATTGCTCTCGACTTTGAGACAGTTTTGCCAAAAAACAACTTCTAGTTAACTCTGCACGCAGATCACATTGGGACATTTCTGCGGTTGAAAGAACTGAGATTTAATAACCGGTCTGAGAAATTGGGACGGCAGTTTCCCTTTAAGTCATATGAATAATGTGAAGCGAATGAGCAGCTAGTAGTTCTGTGCTCTGTGTCAGACAAAAGGCTGCATGTCCTCACCTCAATGAAAGTGTTGAGAGTAGAGTTGGTGGGGTTGTGTGTGATGAGGAACCTCATGTTCTTGTAGCAGACTTCCACAGGCGCAGGCCGATTCATGCGAGCCATGATGAAGTCACAGTGCCCAGCAACGAGTCCAATAAAGGAGACTTCTGCCTCTGCTTCACTTGAAGAGAGGGGACGTTTGCCGTAAAGGAGCTCAAGGAAAGTGCAGTGTGCCCACTAAGCCAGTTCCCAAAGTGATTTTTGTTTCTCCTTCCTTCTTTTCTTTTGAAGAAAAAAAAAAACTAAAGAATGCACAAGATCTTGCTTCTGGTAGACCTGGGTGCCCTTGAAATTCGGCCCAGTCTTCCACGTTATGGATGGGGATGGTTATGGGGAGGGGGGGTGGGGGTAGGGGAAAGGGGGGTGTTTTCAGTTCTTTTACGCTAACAAACTTGCTAACACGTTACCCCATTTGGATTTCGGAGGAGCCTCAGCTGAAAAGACCTTGCCCCGCAATGGAGATTATGAGGAGAAACAGTTTTCCGTTTTCACATCCAACTTCTCAGAAAAGTTCTTCCTCAGCGAAAGGCATCCTCGGCTTATTCAGACGGAGTGATGTTGTGCGTGGCAGTAGTCACCACTGCCCCTCAAGAACTCCATCAAACTCCCACCGGTCACAGTGCAGGAAGTCTAAGGACAACAAACACAAAAAAAAGGTGAAAAAACAGATCAATCGTTTAATAACAGCTGAACAAAAAGCTCATTATCACTTAGTCACTTGGGTAAAGGGGTGTGAGCAGTGGTGAAGAATAAATATTTGCCTGCTGTGAAATTAAAGCAGTATTGTTTCTTTCAAATCCTGGAAAGCTGGCACAAATGAGCATGGAACTAAGCTATTTTTCCACCTGGGGCTACACAGGGTTGTCTATCCAGGTCTATCTATCCATAATGCAGTGAACAAAAGAAGACAAATTTCTCTGAACACAGTGTGAGGGCAATGAGTCACATTGCTTTCCAAAGCCCTGCATGACTTCAAGTTATTAACAACACAGTACAACTTCTTTTTTATTAGGAGTAATTTAATTCATCTCTGAAGCAACAATGGAATAAAAATATCTGGAAACAGGACTGAGCGATTTGGATTAGCAACGAGCCGTAACCCCACCGCCACGCACCGCTCCCAGCTCTTGAGCAACAGATGATTAAATCCCCCTGCCCAAAGCTTCATTTAAGGTCAGAGCCATTTGTGATCCAATGAAGTAAAAAAAGAAAAACATGAGCTCCTCTGTTTCTTTCGCTCACTTCCATTGTCTGTTGAGCCAAGTAAAAGACCTTAACAAGGCGTCATCTTACTTACCTTGTCAAAAGAGGTATAGTAATGTATTCTTTCATATTAACAAAAATTTGATGGAATGCTCTGTGTACATTGTGCGTCTTTGCACCCTTTAAACACTGGGTGCCATTTCTGATCTTTTCAGCTATATGCCAGGGACTTGTGCAGTATATTTATATTTGTAATGTGCAATACAACTTTTTGTGTACTGTTCTGGTTTGTTCTTTCTATATTCTGGACTGTGAGCAACTCTTCCTAGCCCACTTCTCACTGACTGTACTGATTGTAGTGTATGTATTGTATTATTGTATCATTTCATTACACTGTGCTATGCTGACTGTGCTAAGTTGCTGTTGCACTGCAATTTCACCCATGGGGTCAATAAAGTATCTATACTTTTTTAACAAGAGCAGGCACTGCAAGTATAGTCTTCATACAGTCTTTGATATTGAAGGGTGGAGTATTCCCATTGAGAGAGCCTTATTACGCTGAACTCTTGCCAGTTGCCTTCTGTAAGCCAGTGGAGCATAGCGGTCAGGAGTGTGGTTCACGTGTCGTAAGCAATCATCGCAATGAACAACTCCCACTTCGCTGAGAGACGAAAAGTCCTTCATTCATGCGAGATTCTTGCAGGAACGAGACTCACAACTACACAGGCACCTTCATCAAAGCCATCGTTGGCTACAATGGAAAATGCTACATACACTAAATCAGGTTAGAACCTGTAATTAAGAGCATAAATCCAGGTCACAGATACGATACACTGCTTAACTCCAAAGCTGTGACTTTGAGGGGAATTAAACTGCATGAAAACTACCAACATCTGTTAAGTTCTGAGTGTTACGTAGTAGTACAGCACTGCCTGCTTAGGAAAGTTGAGGTCTTTCTTCACATTCTTACTCAAAACTTTAGAAAAAAAAAAAGATTTTCATGGGTAACTTGCTCAAAAGCACCAGATGGTTTGGCTGACAGGAAAATGAAGGCACAATTTGAAGGCACAATTTATTGGTACGCACTTTTTAAAGCTTGTTACTGCTTGTGTCTGCTGCAGATTCCCTGCCTGTCTCTTTAAAATTAACTAAAAAAAGAACAAAATTAATTTTAGGCTGAGGATTTAAAAAGAATATATTGTCCAAAAAGACCTTTCAAATCATGCTGCCTCTGCAGGGATTGTAATTTTCAATGTTGATTATATTGAGGTCTTTTAAACTAGTGGTCTTAGCCAGCACAACAACAGATTTGATCATTTGTTGTGCAAGGTTTTCAACAGTTATAATGGTTCATTTAATTTGAGCGTTTTGTTAATCAAGGTTATTTTGTAGCAAAAAAGTTAAATTAATGAATTAAGAATTAATGAAACCCATTGAATGATGTTAACACATATGTAATCAAGCATCAATTTCATTGATTTCCCTACGGGATTAATAAAGTATTATCTATCTATGTGTCTATTCATTATAGCAAGATGTATTAATCAAACTGAGGTTAATAAACTGAGCTAAATTCTAATAAGTAATAGTTTACAGAAAGACAATTCTTCAATACTGCACTAACTGTGAAACTTATTCTATAATACACCTTCTATAAGGTGAGGTAACAGGTTTAGATTCAGATTCATATTTACATCTTTTGCTATGAGAATTATTCCATTTTCTAAGGACCTGCAGGAGGCAAAATCCCAATTGCACAAATCAAATCCAGGCTCCTTCCAAAACTGAGTACCTTTCAAACCAATTCTGGCGATATCAACCGAAAGATTCACGTTTCAAAATGGTAAAAGGAAACATGCAAAATCATCAGAGCGCACAAATAGAAACTGCATACACTGAGCACATTGTACTGAAACAGTAGGACAAGTCCTGTGTAGGACAAATGACATCTGCCCATGAATTGTCTTCATTCAGATCTTTGTAGCTCCAGACTGGAAATCTAGAACCTCTGCCTGCAGAGATAGTACTACTATACTAGGGATATCTAGAGATAGATAATACTTTAATAACGCAGACATGATCTAAAGAAGGATGGTTTGTATTTCAGGGTTTTATTTTGAGTGGGTTGTTTCAAGGTTCGATTCCTTCCTTCCCAAGATAAGAACTTACTTTTGCTGCTCTTACCTTTGTGTCATGTTGCTTTCTGCTCCGGATAAAGTCCGTGTCTCTGAGGGGAATAACGCGCAGCAAGCTGCCACTACTGCTGACACTAATAACTGTCTCTGCTCTAAACCAGCTGAAGCTGCCTTCGCATGCCATATGACACTGACAGCACTCAACTGCTAATGTCAGAAACAAATGCACACTTAATGCTCTTACACAGGAGCTGAGAGTCTGCTCCCACCCCCAGAAAAGATATCCAATGATTAAACAGGTACACTGCAAACAATCTGATGTCCATTTCTGGACCTTTCCTTCAAACACTCTACGACTAAAAAGAAGTATGTTTTGTTTTGCACCATACAATACTTCAGTGCCTGCTGGTAATCCACGAGAAGAGTTTATTTCAGGCTCCTGACAAAGCCATATGTAAGTGGTAGCACACTATTGTATGCAGATGAGAAGAATACTCAAGAGTTATCAATTCTTTCAATTAGCTTGCCTTCTAAATGCACTTTGCTTTGAGGTAATAAAAAAAAAAACTCCACTTGCTATAAAGGTTTATTTAATATGAAGGGTATTATTTACAGTACTGATATGTTAGTCTACTGGTTCCCAAAACGAATTGCTTTCAAAACATTTGGAAACGTTTATATAAAGCCACTGAATTTATCCTTGTTATTGCAATTTCCTTTCAATCCGATTTGAGTAATTTCATGCTATCTGTAAATTAAAAGAAACTCGCATTGGTGGCAAATCTTTCAGATGTTTCACTAGTATAATATCAGCTTTTTTCCATATGTTCAGCAAAGTACTAAAGAATAATGGACGAAACCCAATATTGTTTTGGATGTAAGTAACACTATTTCAGTTCTGTTTTCAGCACGAAATATTTTCTGAACAAAGCAAACATATGTGGCTGTTTGTTAAAACTCTCTGATTACAGAATTAGGTCAGCTGAGAAGGTTTTTGTGTGTTGAATGTAGTACAATGCAGAACAAAAGCCTGGACAAATCTCCAAAAGATAGACACAACCTTTAGCAAGGTAGATATAAATACAGGTCTTACTTTGGATCACCTTATGTCTTCTGACATGAGCCATAGGTTTACAGTAATCAAACTGCTGCATGATATGTTCATAGTAAGCAGTACAAGCAGGATTAACATCAAGCAACAAATTTATGAGGCACAGAATAATCACGGATAATGTTATGCACTTCCATTCCCAGAGCTTGTACACAAAAGCACATGGTTGAGTATTCTTCTGAATTAGATTCCTAGGAACCTTGCAGTCAGCAGGAACAACTGAACAGGGAATGATAAGCCACTTTAAAATGTACAGTACATGCTGCTCATATAGTCCCATGGAGTTTATTTAAGTATATATTTTGCAGTCGAGGAAGCTCTGATCTTTTGAGCAAAAAATTCCATATACCAATACATATATAATGCATACATAATTATATATTTATGTATAACTGAATTCAAATTTTTTATTCTACGCTTGCTCGCCTACAGAATTGTATAACTTTTTTGATTGACAACCATTGCATGCAAACATCTCCGCCACAAAGCAGATCACATGGAGGAGTTAATAAAATTACACTAACTGAATTCAAGAGAAAATTCATAGGAACTAGGTTATGCAAGAGAAAAGTGAAATTTAGCTTGGTCACTGGGGTTAACAACCCTACTCTTACCAAGAGTGCCATGAGGCATTTCACTGTCAAGTGGTTTCATTCAGTAGGCAGCACTCCCTAGACCTACCCAGTCACCATACTAGGACACTGGTTTGGACATTTTGGCCCAGAGGGAAGAGTCACCACCTACTGGTGGAAAACAACACCAGCAGTAATCTGTCTTTTTCATAAAGGTCTCTCATCCCATTAATGATCAAGCCCAGCCTTGCTCAGTTTCTGCATCTGACAACACCAGACTAAGATAAGATAAGATCACTTTATGGGCCATATACAATTTCTTGTATTAGGAATTTGTCTCTTCGCATACCTTCGCTTGCTCTCCATGAGAGACACAGACAGGGAGAGAAGCTTGGAGTCAGAGCACAGGGTCAGCCATTTATACAGCACCCCTTGAGTAATTGGTAATAAGGGCCTTGCTCAGGGGCCAATGGAGTAGGATTCCTCTGCCGGCCACGGGATACGAACCGGCAATCTTCCAGCCACAGGCGCAGATCCTTAGCCACAGAGCCACCGCACCGCCCCAAAACTGGCATAAACTGACTAAAGAGTGGCATCGCTACTGTTGTGCTTGAGTTTTGGAAAAACTCTTCAACTTTATATCAAAATCTCCAATTTACATGAACATACTTTTAAAGCTAAAAACTCCATCTCCATCTGGAGTCTGAAAATTTGTCTCATCAGCTTCTGGCCAGAGAAATTGTACAGTATATGTGATTCAAATACTATAGTGCTGATGTTGATTCACGACTTCATCTATTGAAAATATCAAACGTTTACACAATGCACAGTTCTCAAATTGAGGGCTAACAGCATTGCCGGCGATTAAAAGCGGTCCCCCTTCTTAAAGGAAGCATGAAGAACTCAGTGCCCTAATAAAAAAGACTCAAGGACAAACACTGTCAAGGGATCCTTTTCCCTCCAGTATTTCTCTTGTTATGCTTTAACAGCCTGAACACGAACTAGGACCACCAGACAGATCCGAATTTGTAAAACTGCAGTAGGTGAGCAACAAATGCCAGTGAAAATCACAGAAAATGAATTCTGCAAACACGAATAAGGTTGCGCTTTTACTAAATGCTACCTGTACATAAGATGAAAGCCCAAGACAGTCATTAAAACTTCATGCCTGATTTGGCAATGTGGTTGCAGAAGAAAGTACTAAAGATTCTGAGGGCGCCCATGAGAGGCTATGAAAAAAAAAAAACAGATTTGAGGCAGAGAGAGCCGATATCAAGTTGCTAGGATCCCAATCCAGAGAGCCCAGCGAGTGATTATTATTGTTATGCAATCCTGTAGCTGGAATGCTCCGAACACACTGCGTGCAATACTATAACTGTGTCTGCTGCGACACCTAAGCTTAGTGCTATAGTATTAAGTCTTTAAACACTGGGCTGCTTTTGCTCATCATGCCTTCATCCTATTACACAATTCTTGAATTGAAGACTGTTCAATAAACATGAAACAAATGCTGGAAAGACAACTATGCTGAGACATAAACCTAAGGAAGAATACACAATCTCAAAGTCAGTTTACTGAGAACACACTTGATTGTATTTCTACACTTTATTGGTCCTTGAAACAGAAATGTTAACGTGCCTCTAGATTAGACAGCAAGGATCATCCTTGTTCCACCTCAACTTCCATGTCTGCTTGATGTCACGTTTTAAAAGGACTCTTGCAAAGAATTTTAGAAAAGTTCTCGTAAGGACTATGCTGAACCCGTTCAAAAAATGTGAATTTATTTAGAACTGTTTTGATTCTGTTAAGTCTAACTGTAGGTAGGCACTGGATAATTTAACCAGTCAATCAGAAAAGCACAATTCTAATGGGGATCAGCCTGACAAGTGACCCTAAAAACCATATGGTTATTATGGTTGTGTCTAGGGTTCATGTTACTTATTCATTTGAGATACTTATCTTATTTGATTAACCACTCGACAGTGGAGCATGAGGACTGTCATTTTCACTACCTTAATTATAAGTGACTTACTAATTATGTTATCAATGAGTTACATGATAGGTCTTACAGCCAATCTGCATTCTATATTAGGACCATCACTGCCTTGCCCAGTCATTCTCAGCGATGTTCCTTCTGTTAACCACATCCCTCCTGGAGCTTTCAAACCAATCTATCAAGAGCAATGCAATCTGCTTCTCCTGTCACCCTGCCATCTTCTGCCAAAACACACACATCCTTCAGATAAATCTGTTTGTACTCATTCCAGCCGTCCAATGTCAGAATTCCGTGCTGTGACATACTTGCTCTAGTGGACAGAGAGCCTTTCTTTCCATCTACAATTTCCCTGTTTTTTTTTTAAATGAAGATCTCCCACACCCAACGCACATTCTTGTGAATTCTTAAACCTTTGAATTAATTTCCCAGCTCTCACCCGCTGCTTGTAAACCATATTCCTTCCTCTGCTGGAGACCTGCATTTCTTGCATGTTACACTCATGCTCTATCTTCATTCTGGCCTGCCATGTGTTTTTATTTCTGTCAAACAGAGTCAACATTTAAATAGAAGCCCTTGGGTTCAGACTTAAGGCATATATTATACACTTGTAAAGACTATATTATTTTTTTTTACTTACAATAATTAAAATTGACCCAATTAAACCAGTCAACCTAGCTAAGTCCTTGTATGTCCCTCTAATATGTAGGTAATGAGGTTGACCCCTTTAGAGTCTACGTAAGTGTAATGGCAGCAAAACCCGGAGGACATATGTTGCTCTTAAAGGAAACACTAAGTTCAAGTGCAGGAGCTGATGTTGCTCAGCTAGCTAATCATAAGCTGATCACCTTGGAAAACACCTTAGAGCTCATCAAGGCTCGACTAATTCAACACCACCACTTGAAAAACCTTCATCAGCTAGGACAGGCAAAACTGGGGAAGCCAATGGCTGGACCATAAGGCTCGAACCTGCACTATAAACAAACACCTTGCCTCAGGGACACCTCACGGACTCCTTCTGTAGTTTTGCTTTTGCCCCATGTCTGTGGTGGAAACAAAGTATTAAAATTTGACAAAAAGAGGTGAAGAGAAATGAAGTTAGCGAGTGCTGAAGCAAAATTACAGAACGAGATAACCGAGAAAACGCTGGACTTTTAATGTGCTAAACTTTTACTTTCCATGGAAAGACATCCAAATGTGAAAAGGCATTTTAAACACATACCACCTCTGAATCCTGTCAATGAAGGTTACTTCTTGGATTACCAAGAAAACATACAGTTTAAGGGCTGCTCTATCCCAAGGCACATTTTTCTTCAAAAGCAAATTAAGGGTTAATTAGATATTTTCTTTTGTTTATACAGGTGTACCCGTATGTGTCAACTTTTGAGGTCTGGTCTGGACAGCTCCAACTGGATTGCTTTGACATCGTACTCTGAAGCACTTAACTTGAGAGTAAATCCTGAGCTGCAACATTTCACTGGCACCTGCTTTCTAAATTTAACCATGCCATCTGCTATATTATAAATTTAGCATGGCTTAAA